CTGCTGCAAACACACAAGGATACACACATGGATGGAGCCAGACATTATCCAGATCAAATGTTTTCTCTCTAAGAAACAACAACAAAAAAGGAACGAACAAAGAAAAATATATAGATACATTTTTTGAAGAGTTACCAGCTGTCATCATCTGCTTACCTTATCTGTGTCTATTCCAGACATGAACTCCTGTTCTACTGTTAAATTATCAAAAAAATCTTCAGATGCTGTGGGAAAAGAATAAAAACCAATGCAATAGCAACTGACAGCTAATTTTCTACATTTAACATTAGCAGAGATGCACTGAGTGAAACAAACACAATTTTTGTCAAGTAAGTGTGTCTTACATCTTCCTACACTCCAATTAGTCAGACTATTCAACAAATGAATACTCACTGGTGATGTCTTTGATGAGTTCTGCAATGGAGGTGTGGTTTGCCAAAGAACTCCTTGCTGCCTGCATGTGTGGCAGCTGTGAGACAAACTGCTTAATCTCTCCAACAGTTTTTGCGTGGTGTCTTTCCTAAAGAAATAAATCCATCCCTAAGGTTAGGTGTTGTTCAGATCAATTAACCACACACTAACTTGACCAGTCTTTTATGGAACACAGTGCAAGAGCAGGTACCGTTAGACATGTATTTTGTCAGAAAAGTTGCACATTTACACTAAAATCACAGCATAACCTGTAACAGTGCTTTGATAGAAGAAGCAGTTCATAATACAACAGGAACAGGGGCTGTTTTTTTCTATTATACCAATGCTGCCAATCACCTTTCTCAGACCAGCTGTCACCATCTGCTCCTCAGGTTCCCTTCCAGTAAGAATTACCTTTTTTTGTGCAGACAGTTTTCTTTACTAGCTGCCAGCAGGCAGGGAGCTCTAGGCAAATGCAGTTAGAGATGGGGGACATTTTCCCACAAGGAGAAGCCTGCCTTTCATTGTGCTTGCCTGTAACAGTGTCCTTGGTTTGGGGCAATGGTCAGATGAAGCACAATGCAGACTTCAGCTCTCAGAGCAGCCCAGAGGTCTGTATTTCATGTGGGCTACGTGCCTCTTGCTGCAACTTAGAATATAAATAAATTGACACGTGAAGAATTTAAGTAAGTGGGCAAGTGCAGGCATGAGAGTGATAATGAGAAGCCTGCAATTTAAGAAGTCTTCTCCTGCCAATATGGTGCTGTTTCATTATCACCTATTACCTCTGACAATTTTCTTTCCTCTTGTTAAAATTAATAAGTAAATTAAAAGGCAACAGTACAAATAATCCATCTTTAGCACCATCAGCACTAATACTGCAGTAACAGACATCTTCTAGGCTAAGCACACACTAGTTCAGTTAAGGTACCATTACCTCTTCTTAAATGTGGCAGAAATGAAGAAGCAAAGTCAAAATACCAGTGTTCTCTGGCTGGGGATTAGTCATGGCAGCAGCTCAAGCTGTGACTCACAGCCCTGCTTAGCACAGACCGTGTCTGTATCTGATGTCAGGAACGCCCGAGGGATGCATCGTTGGATACAGGCCTCACCTCAAAGGCTGCTGAGATTATCTTGGCCTTCTTGCTCAGCACTGACCCCACAGCATTGAAGTTCTTGTCTCGGATTTCAGCATACAGCTCCTCAGCTGAGTTCAGCTGGAGTTTCTTGGGCTCTGTGGGGAGATCTTTGCCACCCTCGCCTTGCTTCTTTGGGGCAAACTTCTCAGGAGGGAGTTTCACGTACGCTACCAAATGCAGAGAAATAACTCTGATAAGGACTTCACCAATGTAAGTTAAGCAAAGCACTCTGTGAAACCTGTATCCTGAGCTGAAAAGAGTTCTTGTCAGCAAAGCTATTATAAATGCCAAAACTACTTAATACATACGTGTTAATTAAAAGAGAGCCTCTTGGTACTCACATAGGCACCAAGAGACATATACATTTATCAAAAGCCAAGCACTAGGTACCCTGCTTCCAAAGAGGCTTGGAGGCAACCTTCCAGTCAGTCATCAGGCCAGCATAAAACCTATAAATGCCTTTGGAGTTATTCTGCCTACTGCCCAAAGAGAAGGGGAACACCTTGACTGACCTTTCACAAACTACGTCCCTTTCCCTCAGTGTGCACTGAGGGAGCCCCCCAGGCTGGACGGTGAAGGCATGCACTATAATTGTTGCTGACCAGAGGCCCCTTGACCTGCAGTACTCACTATTCTGAATTCCATAGATTTCATCAATCAGCCCTTCGTATGTCAGCTGTGTTGCTAACGGTGTCAGCAGATCAACATTGCGGTCCAGCAACAAGAGGGTATCAAAGACTGGAAATATTGAGTTCTGGCTTCCAGGGAACTCACGCTTCATTCTGATCATCATGTTAGCCACATGCTGAAAGGAAAACACATTGGTCTGGTTGTGGTGCAAGCCACAGCAGATGGATTTGACTTCTAAGCTGTGTAGGCATGTGCAAATATAAGGGCACAATCCTGTATGAAGAGAGAGAACAACAGGTATAAACTGGCTGTCAGGTGGGGGCAGGACAAGACAAGAAAATCAGTGTCCTTTGCTGCTCGCTCTGCAGCGTAGCAGGGCAGCAACTGTGGCCAAAGCACTGGCGTCCTCTCAAGCTGCTCCCTCATTACAAAAGGTACCAATTAAACGATAGGTTAATCAGAGAGGAGGAAAAAAAAAAGTGTGGCAGTGAAAGGGAGAGAGGGAAAAGACAGTGCATGAGCAGTAGACTGCGCATTTCCAGCTTTATTTAGCCCTTCTGATAACAGAGTGGCTAAGTGTTAAACTCCATAGAAGGAACTGCTGAAAGCACAAAGGAAGCACACTGAAGAGCAAAACCTAAAATCAGATAACCCTTCCTGACAGGAAGCCTTACGAAACAGCAATAATTATCCTTGGTGGCTGTGATCCTGAAATGGCAACTTGGTGACTGTGATCCTGAAATTCCAATATTACAAGAATACATATCTGGATTCAAAAACAAACTCCACAGATAGCATTTAACCAAATGCCTGTTCCAAAGGATGAGATGTATTAAGCAGCAGTGTTCACCTTACCCGGGCACAGTCACCCTTCCCAAAAATCTGGGGGATGGTTCCATAGAGAGCCTGCAGAGTCATCAGCCCCTTTGCCGCGTGGTACAGGCTTGTCTGGTCATTCTCCAGGTAACATTCCTAAACAACAAGGAAGATTCTTGATGGAAGGCGTCCACCCGACACAGCCGCTTCTGCAGCAGCACACCGCCCATGCACACGGATCAGAAGAGACACAGGCCAGGGAAAAATCTAAGGCCATTGGCAAATACAGACCTTATCTGTGCTGTTAGGTAAATCACTTGATACCAATCACTGTAAAATGCGCTACTCCTGGTTAGACAGAAAGAAGGAAGAGAGCCAGACTAGAACTGCAGTGAGCCTCTACCAAGGCCCATCTGAGAACACAGTAGCTCAGCACAGCATTTGAGAAGCAGCTGCAGGCCCTCCTGGCTATGTTTAATAAAGCCACGACAGCAAAGAATATCTCTTGAAAGTTTCTGTCCTAAGATGCAGTGTTCTTAGAAAACACACATAATTTGTAACACACAGCACTGCACACAGCTTTTCTGCTGCACGTTGACATGAACTGTGTTGGTTCTTTGTAATGACTGATTATTTTAAGCCTTGTGAATGAATGCCTGATATGTGAAAACAGCACTGGTGGTTAACAGCTAGAGGGATGAGATGCAGCTTGGTGTAGCGACTGTTCTTGCAGTGTTTAGTAAGACAGCAAATGGACGAGTTCAGGCTCAGTTCAGCTCTCAGAACTAAGATGCATTTGCTCTGCAGGGCATTCTGCTGTTTGAGGGCCTCTGAACCTGACTCCAGGAGCCAGCACAAAGCAGCTGCCTTAAAGCTGAGCCGAGCTCTTACCTTGAAGGCGCTCTCAGACTCCATGGACAGCAGGTCCCCATCGAAGGGTATCAGGTCCAGGCTGTACTGCTCCCGGTGAATGAAGGACCCCAGCACGCCCTGCTCCTTCAGCCACTGCTCGCACAGCAGGCTGCGGCGTGGCACGAAGAGGATGTGGAAGTCCCTCTGGGGAGAACGGCCTCTGTCTTCCCTGGAAGAATCACGGCCGGGGCACAGCAAACAGTCACAACATCGCTCGGCAGCACAGACAGCCGGCACAGCGCGGGCTGAGGGCACTGAGCTGAAGAAACCTGCATTCATAACCTTCTATTTCCGAGCATTCAAAATGTTGTTACCCAGCCTTTTGGACGCTGAGCGCCACTCTGGGCGCAGGGCAGGGCAGGGCACCCCGCGGCCGTACCTGCGCACGTTGTCCGTGATGATGTCCATCAGCTCCAGCCTGGGCCTCACGAAGAAGATGATGTTCCTGACGTCAGCCTGGGGCAGGCGGCCCGGCTTCAGGGTGAACATCTTCTCCACCTCATGCTCCTGCCGGGAGACGAAGCGTCAGCCTCAGCCGCCGCCTCCGTTTCGGAAACCACTCGTGATTAAAAGAAAGACGCTCACCTTGAGCAGCGAGTACTGCGCGATCAGCCCGAACGGCCCGGTCAGGTACTCGTCCCACACGATGGCCTGCGGAGGGACAGAGAGGCGCTGGGCCGCGCCCTGCCGGCTCGGCTCCCCTCCCCACCGCCGCGCCCCGCACCTTGGAGCCCGCGCACTTGTCGAGGAACTCGCGCAGCTCCCTGCGCCCCGCCTCGCGCAGAGCCGTCAGGTTCACGCGCCCCGAGCTCAGGTGAGCCGCCATCGCTCCCGCCCGGCGGCGGCGGTCAGCTGACGCGTCACGTGACAGCCGGGGCGGTGCCGGGCCCTGCGGGGGTCGCCCGGCCGCGTAGCGCCCCCTGGTGGGCGCCAGGGGAGACGCAGCGGGACGCGGCCGGCACCGCGTGTGCCGCTAGGGGAACCGAACAGAAGAGAGCAAACGCTTGTTTTTCTCAAAATATAACTTTAATATATATATGTATATACACACACACACACGCTCACTGTATAGAAGGTGAAAGAATGCCGAAAAAAAAAAAAAAAAGGCATGCCTCAAACTGTTTCAGGTGCACGCAGCAGATGGGTTTCTAAAAAGCCCACAGCAGCGCCTTACCCCGAGGTTTGTACTGCACACCCAAGGCATTGTACTGCAGCCCTCCGGGCCAGAGGCAGAGCTGGAGGCCAGGGGCACAAACTGCAAGCAAACGAGGAAATGAAAATTAACACAACATAGTTCTCAACCCAGTCCAGTGTCAAAAAAAGCTTAAAAATCTAAATGTACAAATGCAGCCTTAAAATGGTTTAGTGCAAATATGAAAATTAACAGCATAATTTTAAGGTATTTAAATAAGCTTTAATATAACTATAGTGCTTTGTTCCTATACATGTTTTCCCACCAACAGATCCAACAGCACAGGGGCACGACGTGTTAGAGCTGAAACAAACCCAGAGCCTGGGAAGAAACAGCATAAAGTCATCCATTAAATCATTTATTTATACCTCACTTAAGTTTAATAAAGGGAAACGGGGTACTTATTAGTGGAGGAGGAAAATATTTATCCATTTACTGACTCTAAAGTGGATGGGCAAAGGGAAAGGGAGCGAGGGGGTCAAGAAACACCATCCCTTGTCCTGACATTCAGCACACAGAAATGCTGGTTGTGTAAAGTGTCCGATGGGCACGCAGACAGGCCGGCCCTGGCCGCGTGCTGTGTCAGAAGGTCTCATCGTCATTGCAGTCAGCTGTCCAGTGCCCAAACATCTCGCAGGTGTCGCAGTAGGGCCGCTCCTCCCGCCTGCTGCCGTGGTACGTGGAGTGTGGAGGCTCCTCCAGCATCTGCGCCTGGGTCGGGCAGTCCTCGGTGTCGTGGAGATCAAAGCAGCCGCAGATGTCGCAGAAGAGGCGAGGCGTCTTCTTGGACAGGCCTTCTTCCTCACTGCAAGGTCAGCACCAGCGTGTGTTAAACAGAGCAATTCTCTCTCCTAATTCTTTAGGTAGTTCTGCTTCCCTCCCAGTAAGCTGTCTCACAATTACTGAATCTAAGAAATACCACAGCGGTCAATAAAGTATTGTTACAAAAACTCTCCTGAAGATCACAGTACCCCATATTCCCTTACACTACACTGGTCACAAATTGCTCTGTGTAAACATATGCACACATAGAGGCATTATCTGAAAAGAAACAGCAAAGCTAGTTTCTGTTTTTCATAGAAGAGATCAGATCTCACAGTTTATGAAATAGGTTTTCATTCTGTTTCTTTGACTGGATCTCCCCATCTCAGTATAAATAATGGCACCTTAAGGGCAAAGACTCTTCTATGAAACTTGGAAAGAGCTGACCTCAACCAAGACTGACAACAGATACGTTACAAGACACCAGCGCTTGTGGCAGGTAAGTACTGGGGATCATTTTGCACCACCCAGCACACTGCAGTAATAGACCTAAATAGATTCAGTCTACCTAAACTCAGGAGGAAATTATGCATTTGTTGTAGCAGCTGAAACCAGGCTGATGTGTTGTGCAGCTGACAGAACTGACTCCTACAAGCACCTCCTAGAACACAAGCCGAGATTTCCCATTAGAGTTTATACCTGTCATAGTTGATTGTCTCCTCTTCATTGCCATTGAGGGCTGCTTCACACATTCTTTGTATTTTCAAGTTCAATTCTTCATTTCTCCTTTGCAGATCTACTATCACTGAATTCAGGAAGTCAATCTGTGATATTAAAGAACAAGAACAGTCAGAAGGTTGAGGACTGCATGTCTACAGAAAGCAAACACCACAGGAATGGCCCTCAAAATAACAGACATGTCTCAACCCACCACCAACAGATCAAGATCTTATTCTAACATTACTGTTTCAGCATGAGAGCCAGCAGTATAATTCTGATCAGAAGTGCATCTCTGTTCCTCTGGACCTGTTGTTCAAGTGGATGCACCAGGGGCTGCCAGGTCACTCCCTGAGCTACCCCAGTGGTGGCAGTGAGGCAGCACAGTGCACCCACATGGCATTTCCTGAAGTGGTCCGAGCCACTCAGAGATCAGCAGACAGCACTACAAAAGCACTGCTGGCAGTAATCAAGTAATGCTTGGCAAATTGTCATTGTAAATAAAATAAAAGTAAGGCAAGAAGTGGAACAAACCTCTTGCTGATCAGCAGAAAGCATTGTCATCAGCAGGTGAATTCAGGGAGGGAAAAAAAAAAGAAATTGGTGGTTACTTAATTGGTTAATTGCACTGCTTCTGACCTCTGTACAGACTGTGTCACTAGTAAAGACTTTTAATCAGTATGACCAACTCCAGTGACTTAACAGCACTGCTATTCCAATCACGCATCCTAGGCCTTTGTTGTCACAGGCAGCCTGTTGCAGTGCTTTCTTTCATGTATCCATTATGATTACTGTATCCTTTCATACACATTTTTCCTAAATCTGTTAGAATCATATGGTAACAGCAGCTAGTTTCTACCTCTAGTTCTCCTGCTTGCTTCCTCATGTTATGCCAGCCATTGACATTTCCCCTCACAAGCAAAAGGTGAAAACAAAAAGCCGTCTATTATAGTCCTGGTTTCCAAAATCTGCTAAGAACTGTATTTGGAAGGATTTCACTGTGCCTACAGACACACTGCTGTCACTGATGTGTCAGATCAAATACCTGTTTATCTTCTGCACTTTCATCTTGAAGTAGATTAGCAGCAATATCACCTTTAAAGAGAAACAAAAAAGCAAGGCATAAACAACCAGTAATTTAAAGCATGAAACATCCATGGCTTAGTCAGAGACTGAAAATAGTGGGCTATCTCATTTTAACTATGCATCTAACAGCTGCAAAATCTGCAAGATTAAAGCTGACAGCACAGAGAAATAAAGAAGCTCTCTCTTTTACCTGAGGGACTAGTTACAGTTAATGGCTGTTCGCTTTTTGCCTTGAGTTTTTGCTCCAAATTCTTCACCTTTTCCTCAAGTTTCAACTTATCAGACTCCAGTGACTTAACCACTGACTGTAAGGTTTTTGCAGAAGCATTTTCTCCACGGAGCACCGTGATCTGTAACAGTTATTAGAGAATGTTTAGGTCCTCCAGAATGAAATGAAAGCACAAAGGCAACATGCTAAGTGCTAAACTGCTACCACAAACACAGGCAGCACTCACCTAATTGGGCATACATAGACATCTAAAGATTTAATTCTAAGGTTTAACTATGCTAAGTTAATACAGTAAAATAAATCAGCCAACTCTTCAGCTACAAGTCAGACACTGCTAGCCATGGGCTTTTCTATAGGATTTTCCCTGCTTTTTCTCATTTACCTCATTTCTGAGTTTTTCCAGTTCTTCATCTTTCTGTGTGATCAAGGCACTAGTATCACTGATGGATTTTTGTAAAGATGCTCTCTCTTCATCAATTTCTTTTTTTAATGTTGATTCTCTAGAAGAAAACCAAACACAACCAGGAATCACCTCAAGAATAAGTTAATGTTGTTGCCTAGAGAATTTTAATGTCAAGTATTAGGATATCACAAAAAGTTGTTCTTAAAAAAAGACCAGTTCTGTACATAACTAAGGTTTTGTATCTGCATAAACATGTCAGATGTCACAACTCTGGAAACAAAGCAAGAAGTTTACCTAGGTAGCACATGCCAGAATCTGCATATCATCGTATCCGTTTGAATTTAAAGAAACAAGTTAATAGACTGAGGAGATACAGGATAAACAAACATGTTGCACAATGTTCCACCAAACCTAACATCAGAGTTTTGTTACTTCTTGAAAATTATTAGCAAGCAACAAAACATGCATGCAAAGCTCATTGTACAAGCTGTCATGCAAAGCATTGATGATGCTGGAAATATCAAATGGTCCTCACTAATTTCAATAATTTCCTGAAACAGATACTTAGAGTGTTTCTAGGCTTTTAACAACTCCTGTTTCACAGAAATCCACGTGGGATTTGTTTTACTTCATGAAAGGTTTTAAAAAGAAATCCTCCCAAGCAGACACAAACCCTGCCTGTGTACGTATGTCCTGGCTTCCCAGCCTTTTCAGTTATCTAATGAAAAAGAGAGATGACTTCTGCTCACGCTCCCTACCCTGGCTAGTGTCCTTAAGGCACCTCCACAGTGACGTTCTGACACTACCACTAGCAGGTCTCCCTGGAAGTCACAGGATACACCCTGAAGAGCAGCTGTCCTCTGATGGAAGGACTTTTGCTGCAGAAGTTCTGTACAAACAGGTTTTTGTTTAAAAGAATAAAACCAAAACAAAAAAGGCCACAAAATAAAAACAAAAATAAAAATCTCGCTACTTCACGGTCTGTATTTACTTATTTAAAGGAGAAATCTGCTTTTGAAAGCACCACCAGTGCCTGGCAGCTGACTGTCATCTCTCCAGGCCCCTGAAGACGAAGCCACTTCTCTGTGTGACCGCAGACATCTCCGTTCAGATGATCGTGGTCTCACTGCTCAGAAGTTAGCTATTTTTCTTCTTCCAGGCTCTGAGAGAGCTGATGAGAGCTAAGCTGTCAGACTGTGTACCCACAGAGACCAAACAACACAGAGATTTCATTTCAGTAAGTATATAAAACTATGCTCTCTGTGCTGAAGGGACAAAGTGCAGAACGCATCCTTGTGGGACACTATGCTACAGGTAGGGAATAGCTGAGAGTCCAAACTGAAATTTGTTATATCCACAGTATCTACAGTTAGTGAGAGCCATGATACCCAGAGCGTGCAATACAGTAAATCTCACCGACTCGATAAATGGGAAACTCAACAAGGAGAGCACAGTTAATGTAATTCTTTCATTGTTAAGGTTATACTCAGAAAAGAAGCAGCAAGTGGAGAATCTGGGGTTTAGAAAAGCTGGTGCAGCTACCAAAAAAGAACCCAAAGGTTGATTTTGGTGTATTTTTACAAAATGAGAGAATTGATATAAAGAGAAATGCAACAAGCTGCAGATTGCACGATCTTGCCTTGAATACAAGTTATACTCCTGTTAACAAAAAGGGCAGTGGCATTTAGCAGACCTCCTCATTATCCTTTATCACATCTGATTCAACAGAACACTAAAAGCATGACAATCTCAGTGTTCTTCAGTAGCATTACTCACACACTCTGGTCTAACCCATGTTTTTAAATGCCAGGGGTGTGTGAAAGTAACATCCTGCAAATGTCCAGGACACTGCTGCCCTCTGCAATCCACAGAGCTGCACTGGGAAAGAACATCTGCAGGAGGCTCCTCACAAGCTCTCTCCTACCTGACACTTTGCCCAGGTTTTCCTTTTGCTCTGCACACTGCATTAAAAGGCAGATGGAAACCCCAGTGACTCATCTCATGCTCAGGAACTTGCTATTAAGCCACTGTTTGAGCTGTTTGGTCAGATCCTCATCTTAGAGATAAAGGCCACACAGACACTTTCTACACCTACAAATATGGATTGCCATTTGCTGGCCTTGTAAAAAGGAAGCACAAGAATTCAGGTGGTTGGGAGAGGTAAACAGTTTGTAAGCATATAAATATATATCTATATATAGGAGTTGAGAATACTGTAACACAAAGGTTAAGAAATAAGAGAGGGACAGAGGAAAGAAAACAAGAGGTGGGAAAACAAGAGGGGGAAAAGGTACTTGTATTACAGCATTGTTTTTTTCCTTTACAGAGCAGTGTTTGCAGAAACAATCCTTTACAGCTCTGGTTAGAGGCCCTCTAAAATGCACAGACTGGATAACCTACAAATACAGTAGGTAGATCTCACTAATTACTTATACTTAAGTGGGGATCACAGTTCACTTCCAGCATCAGCAGAGAGCCTGCCCCACTGATACCCTCAGCTTTGGCACCGTTTGCACTGCGATTCATATGAGAGGCAATACATTCTATAAAAGGAAAATGGAGGCAATGAACTTAAATTTCTTCCCTGGAAGCCCATATTCAAAATATCTGCTTGCCAGTAGGGATTTCAAAAAAAACCTGTCACTTCACGTGCCAATTTAACATTTCACTTTCAAGAGGAGGTTAAAATGCACTTTGAGCAGTGTGTAGAAGTCATTGGAGACAGACAGGTTTTTTTTGTTTGTTTGTTTGTTGTTTTTATTGGAAAAAAGCCCATCACCCAGATTCTTCCCTTACTACAAAAATCAGACATTCTAAGAATGAAGCAGGTACCTTAAAGTGATACTGGGCAAGCTTTAAAAATGCAAGATAACAAGAACCAAACGTTAGAAACATGGAATAGAAATGCCAAGTACTGCAAGGAAGAACTAAATTTGCACACACCCATGGGCTTTTTTTTTTTTTTTGTAAAAAATATAGACTTTATATATATTTATATGTATATATATATATAGCTAAGTATTTTACAAAACAAAAGCAAGACACCAAGGGACAAAGGCAGCCAAAATATGTACAACAGCTATACTTAAAAAAAAAAAAAGTTATTTATTATAACGTGGATAGACTTTCTTGAGTCTTACCATTAAAGACACACAGATATAGCAAAGGAAGCAAGGGTAGCAAAGGGAAGAGAGAGGAATGAAATGAGTATCGATAAATAGCGCAAGCTCAAAGACAGTAAGACAGTTAGCAACCCACAACGACCCTAATGAACTGAAGTAACACAGAACCCCATCAGATCCAGAGCTACTGATCTCCTGTCACTATTCATAGGCAGTTGTTAAATTCCTGTGGATGGAATGGAAGGAAGATCTGCTGGAGATCTGACCTGACTGAGATAAGCAGATGTCTCTGTTTCGTATTTCAGATTCTTAACACAAAAGGAAGAAATCACTGCTCAACACCAGCTTCAGTAGAATTCAGGCACTTAGAGACAAGCTTTTTTTGTTTCATTAGTTCTTCATTCAGTCTGCTCTTGTTGGCAAATAAGATCATATGCTTCCATTTAACCCCTCATGCTCTACAGTTTGTCCCAATGACTCTGACTTGCTTCTTGTTTTATCTTTTGTATTGGAGTTTATTCAACACCAAAAAGAAATGTCATTAAAGTCAGTCAGAAACTTGGGCATCCCATTGTAACCAAAGGTGAGTGAAGGTAGACGGACCTGACAACCCTGAAAGTACTGTTAATGTTCACTGTAAGGATTTCATATTCATGTTGGCTATTTCAGTTCACACGGAGTAAAAACAGGAACAAAACTGACTGCTGAGTATATGTGTGGTGCAGACACAACAGATTTAACTCAGAAGGAAAATCAGAGCCGTCTTGTTCTTTATAGCTTACTCTAGAATTTGTATTCTAACATGTATAAATGGCACTTATTCTACTATACACAGCTAAAAACCCTATGATCCAATTCGTGAGGCTGCTTAAAGCTGAAACTTCAGCTGCTGACTTGTCCATCCACTAGCATAATGACTAATAGAACTGTTGCATTCTCTAAGAAGGCTTTAGCTTGTGTAACATCCTATGTGCATACTGTCCTTTAAAAGAAGGGTAAGATGTAACAGCGTATGAATCACCTTCCACCAAATAACAGATTATTAGGGAATAAAACCAGGCTGTATATATACTGAGTAGCCAAGGATGTAATTGAATGCTGGAGTGTTGTTAGCACAGGAATTATAACAGTCTTGTTTGTTTTTCTTGGAACACACTTGGTGTCACAGAGATCTGCCCCTTTCTCTAAGAATTTGTATAATTACTTTTGAAAAGGCAACATTTTTCTAAACACATTCTGGTGCACAGCCAATTAGCTTTCCCTATTAACAGCAGGAAGATGGTACGTTTTGTAACTTGGGACATTTACTGAGCAGCAGTTTACAAATGGGTGCCCCAGACAACCAGGACAAATCTCCTGGTATTAAACAGCAGTGCTGAATGAACTGCAATAACTACAGATAGTGAGATTCATATCTCAAAACAATCCAACAAAGGCTGAGTAACAGCCTTTATTTAGTTATTTTAATATCAATCCTTATCATTTCTGTATTTTTCTTCCTTCAGAACCTGACCAGTGAGGATCTGTACCCGTGATATTTATCAGACTGATGAACAATCTAGAGGACTAAAGATGAACAAACTAAAGAGGAAATGGTAACTTCTGCTTGTTTTCTTATGTTTTCTTATAATTACATTTTCACGTTCTTTTTAATAAAGAAATGTGGAAGACATGATCTGTAAGCCCAGGCTGCACAAAAACCTCAATACTTTTAAATACGACAAAGTAGAGAAGAAATGCTTTTTCTTGGCTTTTTTTTTTGTATAATGTTTTGCCAAGCTTTCTGTACGACTGTATAGTTACAAGTATCAGAAAAAAAACCTTACCTCTTTTTCATCTCTAGTAACTGGTTATTGAGTACTGATCTCTCCTCTTCCAGCTACAACACAAACACAAAAAGCCCACAGTTAATACATGAAGAATTATTTCCTTATTATATCAGAATATCATGTTCATAAAACAATATGGGAGAGGCTACAGAGTACACACATCCTTACAGTGATTGATTTTCTTCTAGGACAAACCAGGCACAGACACAGATCATTTAGTGATCAGTGTTAGCTGGTGAGGGGCTGTCACAGCTTTAAGAGGTGTGAAGCACAGCAGCAGAACACCTCTTGCCCCACGCACACCACAGAGAACTGTAAGTGTCTGCATTCCCAGCTGTCAAGTTTCATTCTGTATTGATGAATTACTGGATTTGCTTTTGACCTGGATAATTGTACTATTGAATCCCTGGATTTGCTATTGTAACAGCCTGGATACCAGTACTAATCTGTACTGGTTTCTTTACCACTGTATAGAGATGAATTATTTATCCCTAGAGCTGTTATCTGGTGTCTGTTACTGCATCCCAAACCTGTGACTCTGCAGGGCCCTCAGAACCAGCAACAACTTCTACTTTTCAGTGTCCCTGGGGCAGGGTCCAAACAGACGGGCACACACAACAAGCAAATCAACAAAATCCACCAACCAGATGTAGCAACCACATCAAAACCACAAAGCCCCAACACAGAAGACACACTGAAGTAACTGAGAATGTTAGAATTAAGTATTTTTAAGGTCATTCTTTTTTCCCCACCACTCCATCTCTTTTCTCTCCTTTCTGCTTGCTCAGTGCCCATTCACTCCTGAATAGCCTTCAGTGCTTGTGAGATGCCCCACAACTCAGAGCACAAATCTTGCATCCCTCATCCTTTTTGTTTTCCTGGTTGGCTGTGGAGAGATGATAGATTTTTGTGTAGAACAAGACAGAAGTGGATGTCAGAGACAAGTAAAGGACAGCAACTTGTTAAGTCTGCTCTCTCTCTTGCCCTGGAGCAGGCTCCTCATGTACCTTTAACAAAAGATGGTGCAGCACAGCTGATAGATGTTTCTATAGTTTTCCAGTGAAGTTAAAATGCCTGGGCAAGTCTGAAGCTCTGAAATGCCACAGCAAATACTCTGAAGCCAGCAAAGCTTCCCGAGCTCAGTATCTATCTGACTAGGAATCTTTAACTAATTACACACATCTAATTATTTATGAATCGATATAAAAAACCACCCCTAGCATCTTTAGGCACTTTAACCTTTAGATGTCAGGATAAATCATTCATGAAAGAGTATTCATTAATTTTGCAAAGTGTGTCACATGCAGCCACAGATTCACTAACCCAATTGACTAGCAGCACACTTAGAATTTATAGTTACCATAGTGACTGCTCAAAATACTTAAAACATATGCTTGCTATCTTTCTTACTGCATTTTAATAGACATACACAGAAACTCAGACTGAAGCAATGCTACATTCTGTGCTTTCTTCCCTATTGTCCAGTTTTTCAGCATCTGCTGTATGAAATACAGCTCCACAAGCAATGCTGGTCTAAGACATCTTCTTTCTCAGCATCAGCACTCATTCTCTTAAACCCAAATGAGCAGTTTTCATAGCAACATTCTTCAGTTCCATAGACAGCCTGAAGCAATGAAGTCCAAACAGTGCTGAAACTCAGTGCCTAAATACAGAGCGTGTTCAGAATAAAAGAGTTGTAGAATCAGTGTGAATGTGCTAACCTGAGAAAGGGCTAGCAGTGCCAGAACCTGGTTGAATCAAAGGCTGAACAAGTTGATTTTAAGTTTAGGTTTAATGCAGATCCAGAGGAAACATGAAAAAAGTTGCATTCTGAAGGCTAAGAGCAGGTCTCCATCAGACTGAAAAGGATGATTAGCACTGGTCAGCACTTTATTTGCTCCACAGAATGCTCTCTAGGAGGATATCCATTTTCCACTCAAGGAACCAAGAGATCTAACAGTTCTGGGCATACACTGCACATCTCATCAATAAGAATTGAACAGTACTGAGTTCATTGTGTAACACCTGGAAGGGAACCTGCATTCTACATGACACCATTTCGCCTTTGCTCCTTCTGCCAAGGCAAAATTCCCTGGAACAACCAAGGCCTCTCCCAGGCTGTTAAGAGGCCATACAGTTCAATGGATCAAATATGACATTTAAGAAATGCAATAGCACTCCCACATACCCAAAGTTCACACTGGAAATTGGAAGGTAAACAGGCTGTTTCTCAAGCTCTAGCAGACCTTCCAAATCTTAGTTATGGGAGCCATCCTGCTATGGACAGAAAAGGTCATGGTGAAAGTGAACTGAGAATGTTCCTGTTTGCAAGGTGATCGGCTCTTTGAGCTTCACAGACCTGGCACTGAGACTGGATCCCTGCTGACAGAATCCACAGGCAGGTAGGATGGAGACACCAAGACTGCTCTGCGAGTACATCTAGAAACTACCTGAGGCCACAGTGAGACTGCATTCACCTCTGCCAGCCTCCATGGGCTGAAGGGCCCCTTCCTTCAAGGACTTTCTGACTGGCTACTTAGGATAGGCAGAAAGATTTGAGCGATGTTGCTGATTCCTTTTCAAGTTACAACTCTTTCAAAAAAATAACAGGTTGCCTCAAAGATTCTGAAATAATTTAAGAAAATATGTGGGAGTGGGGAGCAGAGCTCCCACTGGCTGTTTAGGATGACAGCATTCTGTTATCACATCACTACTCAGATGCATCATGACTCAGTGGCTGAGCCCACACGTCTGGGACTCAGGCTAATCATCTCCAAAGGCTCTTCAGGATGAAGAAGCTCATGCATTACTCCTAGCAGCAGCCAAAAGGATTTAGAAACTTGCTAGATCTGTAGTTACTCATCCTCAGTATTTCAAAGCAGGTTAGGTTCCTTAGGGGGAAAAGCCAGCCTCTTGGCCTCAAAAGTGTTAGCCTGTGTTACAGGATGGAAGACATCTGTTCCACTGCCACTGAGAGCAAGACACCCATTTCTGCAGAAGAGCTCTCTCAGCCAGTACACAAAGCCATGCTCCACTCTTGCTTTTAATCTAGATGTTCCTTAGATGCCTTCATGGTGTTATCATGAGAAATGCTCCACAAGAAATGAAACCACCATATGTAATGGCTGTAAATCTAATATCTCTCTAGCAAATACCAGTCTTGTAAGCTGTATAACTAAGCACACACTTTAAGATTCCAATGTGTCCAAGTGTAATATTAAAAAAAAAAAGTGTTTTTTCCTATAAACTGTAACAAAAAAAACAACAACCTCACATAAATTCTAGTCCTCCAGTAGCCAATACCTGACTGCAGCACTGTTCATGTACATGCACAGTTTCAGGTCTAAGTAAGCATATACATGCACAGTGCTTTTTATAGACTCTAAACAAGTAGTTTTAAATAGTATTCTGAAAGACATTCTAAATATTCTTTCTTTTCATGGGAACAGAGAGCAGGAATAAGGAGAAGAATTAAATAGATTTCTTTAGTACTGCTTAGATGGAGATTTCATAGTTGTATAATAAAAGTATTCCTGACAGAAATAGAAAGTGTCTGCTAATACATTTGGCTAAATCATATTTAACTTATGCTTATTTCCAAGCCTCCTAAGTATCCTTTGTAGGTTACACAACCTTCTGTTAGCCTGCAGTACTAACCTCCCAGTGCAGGTGGTTTCCAAATTTATTTTAAAACATTCTCAGAACAACTCATCTTTCAATCACAAGCATGCAGTGCAACGTCACCCAGACATCAATGGAAACAGCACGTACCACACTTTCACCACACATCAGGAAACGTTCCAGCCACTCTACCTTCTGATGACTTGTGACTTCGTCCCTGCTTCTGCCCAGCTCCTCGGCAAGTTTCACGTTCTCCTCTTGCAAAGCTGCAAGCTGCTGGGACTTCTGAGCAGCTGCCAGCTTCAGCGCTTCGCTGTGAGGACAGAGAGTGCATTGTTACCATAGGAACGAGGGAGGCAAGAAAAAACTGTGGGAGAGAATCAGCTTCACAGCTTGGAAAAATACATCTAGGTCACGTGCCTGGTGGGACTGATAATAAAGGTGACGAGCCATACCTCGCTGCACACGGATAGGTTTAACCCCGAAAAGAGACAGCAGCACAAAATTACTCCCTTCTCCTTTAAACGCATCAGAACTCAGGGAAATGCAGGGAAAACCCAGTCTGCTGGTTCTGCACATTTCCAGTGGTTATCGAGCACTTGGATTTAGGAATATCCCTCACAGGAGCTGCTGCTGAGCTGCACAGCCCAGACACGCTCAGAAATGAACGTGGCTGAGTACTCTGCAGTTAAAGCATGAGAACTGGTTTTAAAAACAAAAAAAGCTCACAGTCTCTCAGCACTCCCTGCAAGGTTTGCCACCCAAATAACCAAGAACGTGTGAGACTGTGGGGTCAGCTGCTCTGTTCTTGTTATTTTTCACGTACAAAACCAAACAACAAAACAAAAGCTGAAGTATGTCTGCAGGTTTCATTTTGCTATTAATATATGTTGTTTCCTTAAAGTAAGTTATTTTTAATTTGTTTTTGCCTGCCTGGGGGACAAGTGACTAACCTAAGTTCTTACAATATTTGAGTATATCTTAAAAAAAATGAAAAAAGTTTGCTTAACTTCAATAAATGGGAACTTTTATGACTGGGTTTTGTTTTCATAAAAAGGAGTCTCAGTGCTCCTATGTGCCAATATTACACAGAGTTAAACCCTGACTAGAATATTAAAAATACTTGTTTAGCTGTGGGAGGCAGGGGAACCCAGGAGTCAGAAACCTACTCAAGTGCTTCAAAACAGAGGAACTCTATGGGCTGTTATTGAACACAGTTAAACAAAAGGAAGTCTGATTTACCTTTAGAATTTAGCATGTAACACGACTTAAGATTTTCCAACCATTTCTCCAACCCCTGATCTCCAGCTACACCACTAGAGTAGCTAGTTTTCTACTTCTTGACCAGTTCTCAAGCCACCTAGACTTGGATGAAGCTGGCTGGCTCTCCTCACTGGATGCTGATTCAAGTGACCTTGGTATGCATATACCTGCTGACACAGGCACATGCCCGTCTGTAACCATGACTGTTTGTTCAAACTAGTCTGCTCTTGAAAAAATTACAGTCTAATATATTTTGTTTTTCCATGAAATCAGTCTGCTAGCCCCATGCAGCCCCAGCATTACAGCAGCTGGTCTAGAAATGATTGTTTTGCTTTGGCATTTCCCACGAGCTTGGAGGCAGGCAGAAACTGCAGAATGAAATCCCACCTTTCTTCTGTGGGGTTGCACTCTATTCAGGCAGCTTTTTAAAAGCAAGTTAAGAATGGTCACACATAAAGAAACTAAGTATTCATTCTGCCTGCTGATTTCCTTTGTGTCCTGCCTTTACCTCAGAGCAGCGGTGAGAACTGTCACACAATGACTTATGGAACTAATAATAATTAATCATAGATGCTCTTATCTATCAGTCCAAATTCTACATTCCAGCTCTCAGTGTGCAGGCAGGCAGGAATGCAGATTTGTGATTTCATGCGTAACATCTCAGAGCTGTGGGACCTGCAGCTCCTGGACAGCAGTAACAACATGGCTGGGCTTTATTCACAGCAGCACACAGCTTTGGTACAACAATACTGCACATACAGATTACTCTGTGCCAGATGCTTTGCAGTTATTCTGTGTGCAATGCTACACATTACAGTACATAAGCAACAGTTTCTCAAATGATAAGTGATCAACTCTGATTTTACATATTTATATACGTGGCATTTGTATGGTACCAGTTAGAAAACAAGAGCACAGTGTGGCAAGTGGAGTAAACTGGATATTGTCATCATGAGAAATAAAAACAGAGCCCAATTTTCTATGAACAGTATCTCTTAAAACTACTTGATGCTCCAAGTATACTTACAAGGAAATACTGTTTGGATGTGATAACAATTAAGCTTTTAAAACAATTTAGTGCCCTCAGGTGGCAGAGTTAGATACTTCTTCCAACAAACAAATTATTTCAAAGCTCGAATGAAGGATTTGTTCATAACGTTTAGAAACTCAGGAGCAATATTCCAATTTCAAACTATATGCCTGCCAAGACAGTATCTGATTTTGATTAAATATCTGCTTTCTAAATAAGGATACCAGAGCAGTACTGAATTACTTCTTTTTTTTTTTTAAGAAAGGTAAATGTAACTACAAAGTAATGGTTTAACAAACGTACACTGAAATACTTACAATTCTTTTTTAAGTTCTTCCACTTTCCTGTTCTCCAGGTTCAGGAGCTCCTTTGATTTAGTGAGTTCCTCTTCATTTTTCAAGTTGTTTTGCTTAAGCATGTCCAACTTGAAGAGAAAAAAATACCAATTACACAAATGAACTATGCTGTCTTCAGGTGCATCACTTAGAAAAGTATTCAGGAAGACAGAGGCTGGAGCTGAGCTGTTCCTTTTTGTCATTTTTGTTCATTAAATTAATTCAGACCATTTGTACTGAGAAGCGTTTGTCCAACAGAAAAGGTTGAGCCCTTCTGAATTCGAGTTCAGAGCACAAAGAATTCAATCTCCTCTTCAGAGTAGCTTACAGTAATCTGATGTATGGACACTGGTATAAAAGGTAAAGCTCCAAAGCACCTCCATTTTAAATGCTATGCATCTCAAAGCTTTTTGTTGTTGTTGTTAATAACTCAATACTGCATGTTGAAATTAGCTCTTCCCTTTGATATTTAGTCCTCTAAAACAACTGATAAGAAGTTCTCCTTTACCATACCTTAATTTCTGAGAAACAGAAGGCTGAATGTTCTGCTTGCAACCATAAGAAATCAATTCCTTCCAGAGGTCCTGTTGCACAGGTCAGATTGTTGTTTATCTATTTACTGAGCTTGCATTTACCAGTGAAATCCCACAGGCTTGTGAACCTTATTTGTTTGCATTCACTGACACATTATATTACATAACAGATAATCTTCAGCCACTCTCATGGCATTACAGGACCCTGTGCTTGATTTTCTTTTTTTTTTTTTAATCCCAAAAGGAACTCCTGCCATTACTAACGTCATTGCTTTTAATTCTCGAGCCATCAGATCTCCTTGGAAAACATTACTGTTTCTGAACAAGCTGTGGCACTTAGGTTAGCCCAGCTGTCCACTACCATTAGGAGAGCTGCACAAGACAAAATGATGATCAAAAAGAGGCAACAGAGTGCTCCACATCTGCAGAAATGCTGCCAGCTGGACGTCAGATGAAGATATTCTGGGGCCCAAGAGTGCAGAGGAGATCGGTGAGGACATTCTCCCTTCAAACCCTGATGGATGACAAAGTGGCAGGGCACAGACTGAACAACAGGTGCTTAGAGGAATGCTGTACTTGTTGGAGTGCGAGTTCTTTGGGACAGCTGTGCTCGTGCTTTTGTGCAGCACACTTCACTGCAGTGTGAGGCTGCACCCAACACAACGTCAGGGAACCAAAGCATCAGTTTGAGTTGTATTTCATACCAGAAAGTGACCAAAGCCTAGAACATAGATTTCACACACTACATAGACACTGCGAGAAAGGTCCAAATCACTCACAAGCTAGGCAATACTTTTCATATAAAAGCATTTAAATATGATTACTTCATTCTGCAGCTTCTCGTTTGTCTGTCTCGAGTTCTCCAAAGATGCCAAAGTTTCAATCTTTTCTTGGTGAATGGCATCCTTCTCTTTGGTCACCTTCTCCATGGTCTGTAAAACTTCTTCTGCTCTTTTGTCAGCCTGTGGATAAAGGGGGGTGGAAGGAAAGAAAGTATTACAAGTGGGACATCTGAAAGCAAAAGAGGAACCACAATACTTTATGCACAGCTCTATTGTTTGCCAGCTGCTTTCCAATTAAACACGGACTTCAACAGGAATGTACTTGCATTCTGAAGCTGCATAAAGTATAAAAAGAAGTGGTCATCAGTAGATTCACTTCCATGCAGAAATTGATTGGAATCTTATACTTGTGTCACCACTGAGGAATAGCATCTCTTCTTTTTAATTACCTGGGTTTCTATTTACCGCCGCTGTGATGGCTCTTAGATTTCTGAACACTTTAGAGAGTAGTAGCTCAGTAGATATTCACTTCCAACAGACCGCTCCATTTTCAGAAAATGTGAAATTATAAAAAATGCTACAGATGTGAGAACAAGTTAAAAACTAAATAGCAAATAAAGCCAATGATCACATTGTTTTAGTGTTCTTCATTATGCCCTCATAAAATGAAATAATTCCTACGTATATTTTAGCATCTAGGCAGGCATAATGCATTCCTGTAGGATATCTTGATTCCATTTTGCATTAAAAATGATTTTATGGGCTTCAAGCCAAAGTAAAATTCAAATTTCTGTTCAGAATTTGTTGGTGGTGAATACAAAACTCTTCTGTGAATAAAAAGAACACAATGGTTGCCAATATCTAAAAGTCCTACATTGCAAATTTAAATGGTTCTCCTGCATTGTTTTCTTAATCCAATGACATTTACAGCAGCAGGAGATTGTTTTATACTTTTGGAGTAACTCAGATTTGTATTTTGTTGCAATTCCTCTCCAGCTCTTAAGCTGCAAAGTACTTTGACAGAGGAACTGCCCAGCTTTCCTAACAGATTCAGAAAACAAAACTTCCTTTTATTCACAGTTTATGTTGTTTTCTTGCAACATTCAGCAACAACATAGGCTCCGATATTTAGGAATTATTTAAAAATAAATGTTATAATTGAAGTGTCTTTCAGATTCACAACCTGAAAAAAATCCAAGCTAATGACATCAAAATTCCAGTCTGTTCATACTGAGGTGAAGTGCTGATTGTGCAATGAAGTGCAGAGAGAAAACCATTGAGTTAGTGCTCAGTATTAGTATAACCATACTTGATTGTTTATGTATTTCAATACCTCAATTTTTTGCATAAATGTTTGGGCCTGGAGAGTCTCTATTTCTCTTAGTTTCAAAGCCAGATTGCTCATCTCCTCCAGCAGCAGCTTATGTTTTTCCTCAGAGTACAGCAGTCTGCAGGAGAAGTCTGCATCAGTTTGCTCTAGAAGTTCCACTACTTTCTCACGCAGTTTGCAATATTCCTTGGACAATTTCTCCTTCTCTTTTATTATTTCTTCATTAATGATGACCAGGCTCTTCCACTCAGCATGCAGACTTTCATTTTCCTGAACTAACTCCATTTTCTCCTTCTCTGTTGCCTCATATTTGTGCTGAAGTTCATCTAGCATCACGGAGACAAAGCTGTGCATGTCCTCAAGCTCTGCTTTTGATACAGACAGGGAAGTAAAGTCACTCTTCAGTTGCTCAATTTTGGACGCCAGCTGCTCTGTTTCTGTACAGAGAACCTTTTTTTCTTTAATTACTTCCTCCAGTTTAGCTTCAGATTTTTCTTTTTCCTGAACCAAAAGCTCTTTCTCAGTCAGAAATTCTTTATTTTTCTCTCTCATCACTTCCATCTCCTTCTCTAAGAAACTGATGTTGTTTTGTAGCTCCGCACATTCCAACAAAAAGGATTCCTTATCCAATATTCTAGCTTTCTTTTCTACGGTTAAGTTTTCTTTCATATTCTCAACCTCATCAGTTAATTTCTGGCATTTATCTTGTAATTCCGTCCTCTCTCTGTTCAGTATTTCTATATCAGAGGAACTGAATGAAGATGACAGGACCTGCTTGGCAAGTGACACAGCAGCCAGTTCGTTTTCCAATGTTCTTCTGGCATCCTGGGCCTCCTTCAGAAGATCTGAAAGGTCACTTTTACAGGCTATCAGCTCTTGATTTTCTAGATTCTTCTCCTTTAGTTCTTCCTCGAGAGCTTCAATTGAAACCTTGAGTGTGGTATTCTCTTGGACCAGAACACTGTTGGCTGAGAAATCCAGCTCCTGTTCTCTCTTCATACCAGAAACAGCATTTTCAAGAGACTTCTTCTCATCAACAAGCTCAAAGTATTTTCTCTCCAACTCATCCTTCTCTCGCAGAAGAGCTTCATTGTGCTTCTCAAATTGCAGTGACTTAGAAAAAACAGATTCCTTTTCCAAGTTCAATTCATTTATCTTCTCGGTGAAGGCTCTCTCAGCAAGCACAGCATCTGCTGTGGCCTTAGCGAGCTTTTCAGTAACTGCCTTATTTTCATTTAGAAGTTTCTCCCTTTCAGCCAGGAGCCTTTGTTCTGATGCAGAAAGAGCCTCTTGAAGCAAATAAATACGTTCAGAGTTAGATGTCTCTCTTGAGGATTTCATTTCCTCAAGAAAACTAGAGAGCTTAGAAAGGGAAGCCTTCAGCTCCATATTGTCTTTTGTCATCTTTTCAAGTTTCTCATGTTCAGTCTCTAGTTCTGTTTGCATCTCATCTCTTCTCACTTTTATTGCCTGTTTTTCACTAACAGTATTGGCCAAACTCACACACAGCTCTTCTCTGCTTTTAAGGAGCATCTCCTTCTCAGACTGCAGACTCTGGTTTGTCTGCAGCAGGCAGTCAATTTGGGTTTTTAAGGCTGTGTGTGTACTTTTAAGATCCCAGTATTTTTCTTGGGCTGAATCTCTCTCTGCAGTCAGAGTTGACACTTCTTGTAGTAGCTCTTTTTGATTTCTAGCCAAGTCATCATAAGAACTTTGCAGTTTCTGAATTACATCATCTTTGTCTTTAATGACTGCATCATTCTCTTCCAAAAGCTTCTTCTGATAACGCTGCAGTTCCTCCTGTTCCTTGATATGTTTCTGACATGCCACATCCATAGAATCTTTGTTGGCCTGTAGTTCTTTCAACTGCTGGAGCAAGGCTGACTCTGAAGACCGGAGAGCATCATTTTCTTGAGTTACCTTTAGAAGATCTGCCTGTGCAGTCTCTATTTCAGAGAGCAATCTGCTTTTCTCAGAAATCAGTGCTACCTTTTCTGTGCTTTCCTGACGACTTTTGGCCTCAGCTTCTTCTTTCTGCTTTAGAATTTTTTTATTTTCTGAATTAAGCTCTTCATTTTTTGTCCAAAGCTCTTCTCCGTCTTTCTCAACTAACAAAATCTTTGACTCCATCTCTAGATGCTGTGATAACAATGACTCTTTCTCTAATTTTAGAGTATTCCTCTCCTGTGCCAGTGTCTCTTTTTCTGATATTAAATCCCTCATCTTGTCTGACATTAGTTCAATCTCTTTTCTGGCTGATGCTAACACAGAGCTCAAGGACTAAAGAAATAAAGTCAGGGAGAAGGGAAAACAAAAATGAAGTCAAGCAGACAAATGAGAAATGTGGATTAAGGGCAAACAGTGCTATTGTGACTTAAGTTTTCTACAAAACTGTATATATTCTGGCACACAGCCCCTCTGCAGACTAAACTGTTGACAACCCACCAATGATATTTCATTATAAAACATCCACAAGGAAATATTTTGGTGCTTACATTAAAAATATCATAGTTTGAAGGCTACTCTATACAAAACCTCATCATGTTTTTTAAACTGCTCTCAGTGACTTTTCTGAATGAAAATTGCTCACAAAGAAGAGCTACAGAATGGTTTCATCAGAATCTAAGTTAAAATGTACATTACATGCTACCTTCAATTCCCAAAGTAACCTTCTGTAATTAATTCTCCTCAAGATTCTGCCCAAGAAATATTGCCAAAACACCACGTAAGTGATGTACCTAAAAGTTGACTTATTTGCCAATTAATATACTGAACATTTTGCTGAAACATAAAACATTATAGCCACTAGCTAATCTGGGATGAAAGCAGTAATGTCAAAGAAATAGGAGACAAAATGTAAATTATTCAAGTCAATATTCATACCAAATAGCTGTACATAACACAGGATCATACTACAGAACAAAATTTCAAGTGTGTAACACCCTTAAATGAAGTATTTCACAACATATTTTAATTAAAATTCATGCGTTTGTAACACCGAGAATAATATCTGGCTCTAACCTACTGTACTGAATCAAGTATCTACAAACATAAAATGGCAATGTCAAAGAATCATACTTCATCTAGAGACAATAACCAGCTGATTGTGTGTGCTTCATTTCCCTAATCAACATTAACCTACCGTGGAAAAATTCAAACACTGCAAATAAACTACTAGAAAATGGTGAAGCCAGGAAAAAAACCAAATCAATGAGTCACTGAAATCAAAGATTTGAATTTGAAATTACTTGCAAAGTAAGAAAGTATACATACTTTAGCCTGTTCTGCTTGCTTTTTCAGCTCCTCAGCCTGTGTTTCCAACTCATCATTTTTCTTTTGTGCAGTTTTCAGTGCCTCTTCTGCATCCAACAAGTTCTGCTTAAACCCTTTGATATCTGCATCGTGTTTGGTGATCATCTCAGAAGTTTCTTTTTCATACTTTGCCTGAAGATCCTTATACTGATTTTCACTGGTCTCCATTTGCTTTTTCTAATAGAAAATAAAACAGTTGGAACACAGACGCAGTGGTACATCACAGTAAGTATTCTCAATATAGTTAGCTAGTGCTTTTTAAACTTCTTACCATGTCCATTAGTTGATCCTGCATTTTTTTCAGCTCTTCTTGATGAGTCTTGAGAGTTTCTTGCTGACTCTGCTCAGCTTTCTGTGCTGTCTGTTCCACATTTTTCTGAAGCTGAACAGCCTTTTCATTTGCTTTTGTAAGCTCAAGTTGTATTTGCTCCAACTGCCTAAAAAGACCAAATAAAAGAACATTACTTTTAGCTGACAGCATGACAAACTCTGAGGTAAAAGACTCTAAATTATGTTGAAGTCCTATATTCTGTCCAAATGTTTAGAAAGAGATTTTATTATTTACATAATCGGAAAGTTCTGCTAAATTAAATGTATGCATGCAGGAGTGAGCATTTGCTTGTGTGCACAGCAACACTTCTGCCACTTAACTCGAGCCCAGCCTGGGGTTCTGTAAAAACAGATTGTACATTGAATAGTTTTTATTTGAAAGAAACTATATTTTCTCTTGCTGGTCAAAAAAGAAACCAAAGAGTCTCTTCTGTATTCAAATAAAATAAGTTTTTTGGGTAACTAGTTATAAAGCAGAATCATGAGACAGTATACTCTTAAAGTATTCATTTATTCTGAGCTGTTAAAAGTGTATGTCACATAGAATTGTAGAAACTAAAAAACACCAAGACTCTCTTCAAGTAAATGTGAGGAGACTATTTTGATGAATTAAGTCTGATAGACTAAATTCACTTGTCATATCAATGTGACATCCAAGTGACTATCTTGCTCAGCTATTTGCAAAGAGAAAATGAACAGGGAATGCAGGAGTGAAGAATTAACATGAAAATATCTTGAAATGATGGAATACCTTTCTTTTAACCGTAGCTCGTCGTTCATTTTCATAAGCTGGGCAGAGCTGTCTCCTGATGACTTCATGATCTCTGCAATATCATTTTCTAGTTTGGCTTTAGCTTCAGTCAGTTGCTGTTCTTTCTCTTCTCTCTCCTTCAGTTTAGTCTCCATCACTGAGCAAGACAGAAGTTAGTAGTCTAGTAAGCTTAAGAGAAAGGGTATGCAGAGATTAGCTAGAAGACCATAAAGAACAATAAGCAAAATTATATTGATACTACAGACCATCTGAATTATCTTTCTGAAACTAAAAATTATAATTGGTTTGAACTTTGCACTGTTAGCTGTAGCAGAAGGTTAAGAACGCTTTAGAAATAGTGGTAAAGCAACTAGTTAAAAGATCTTTGTTTCAGAAGTGATTCACTTAGCTTCAGGACACAAGAAGTTATGCTATATGTATCAGATAGAAATGAGGCAATATAACAGTAGAGACATGCACACCTCACCAACAGCATAGCAGGGAGAAACAATGCAAGCACCGTGAAGTTACAGTCATGAAATCACAGAATGGTTTGGGTTGGAAGGGACCTTACAGATAATCAAGGTTCCAACCCCAGTGCCATGAGCAGGACTGCCAGCCAACAGATCACGTTGCCCACAGCCCCATCCATCCTAGCCTTGAGCACCTCCAGGGATGGGGCACCCACAGCTTCTCTGGACAACCTGTTACAGTGCCTCCCCACCCTCACAGTAAAGAAATTTTTTCCTAATGTCTAATCTAAACCTATCCTCTTTTAGTTTAAAGCTGTTACTTCTTGTCCTATCACTATACTCTCTAAAAAATTGCTCCCCAAATTTCCTATAGGCCCCCTGTGCGTACTGGAAAGCTGCTATAAGGTCTTCTGAAGCTTCCTCTCTCTTCAGAGCAGAGCTGCTCCAGCATTTGGATCATCCTTGTGGCCCTCCCCCATACCCAACCTGTCCACACCTCTCCCAGCACAATGACTCGGTACGGGGCAGGTACTGTCCCTTGCTTACAGGGTATACGGTCATTAATTTCTTTCTAAATCAGTTTTAAATTAAGATATACAACTAGAAGGGCAGAGCAAGCCTCCAACCTGTGAGAGATAGGAAGCAGAAGATGATCAGACTAATATGCAGTCATTATGATGTCCTTATAAAGGAGAATATTAATTATGCTTCTGTTTGGTCACCAAGTCTTTGTTGGGTACCTGACCATCATCACACGATTTTGTAGCAATTTTAAAGCAGGAATTTAACTACTGATTTGGAAAACACTCAGCTGGGAAATCTTTTGCCTTACTGCACTATTTCCTTAATTCAACGGTCATCTTGCTGTGTCATTATATGCAATGCCACAAAAGGCTTTCTTTTGATGGTGTATGCATTTGTGAAAGCACTGCATACTATATAAGATATGGGAAGCTGAGCAGGAGGCGTAAGAAAGCACAAAGCTGATGCATATTTCAAAATATTCCATTTCATTTCTTCCTTACCAGTCAAATTAGACTTCAGTTGTTCCAGTTCTGAAGACATGAGTGCAAACTGTTCTTCTTTTTGGTTTAGTTTTTGTATTGTTTCTAAGCAAGTAAAATTTTAAAGACAAAGTTAGTAACTACTTAGATGCAAACAATTCCACCTACTTGCAAGATATGCTGCTCTCGAGAGGACAGACTGCAAGTAACCCTGTCATTTCCCTAGCTTCTGAAACCACTGTGTTGCCAAGTTTAAATTTGAAAGAACATGAAAACTTTATTTTGCAGTATAATTTTCTGCAGCTTTTTAGTTTTCTCTTATTTCACAGCAGACATACCTTGCATAGCGCGTTGAGCGTTTTCTGCTCCATCAGCTGCACTAGTAAATTTTTCTTTCTGAAAAATGGACAAAAACCTGAGGTAAGATTTGATGTTAATAGTATAATTCAGCCACTGAACTTATATTAGGTATTCTACATGTAGAAAACAAACCATATCTATGATAGGAGTGAAAACTGAAGTTTTTGAATTACAGCTTAGCACTGATATATTCAGCAACGTAATGCAAGACTGATCCCTTGCTTCTGTTACAAGCAAGTCCCTAAGCTTTCAGAATAAGCTTTCCATCAGCTTGCATAGCAAAAGAACTGCAGACACAGCCCAGCATAAGAAACATGAGTTCTGGGCTTCTCATTTTAGGAAGCTACCCACGTTATTCAAAGGCTGCACAGTGGACATCTGCAATCCTGTGATCAATCTCATACCAGTGTCTTCCAGCTCTACCAGCAGGAAGAGAGCTAGACAGTGGAAAACAAGGAAAGATACTGAAGAAGACATTAAGTGAGACTCTGACATCAATGTCAAATACTACGGCCATGGAAACATTTTATGACAAGGACAGTAAAACTAAAGGAGCATGGCTTCTGTTGCTAACTATGGTGTAATTTTCAGGAGAATTGCACCATCCACAGAATACTTAAAAATGGGATCAGGTGAAAAATGTCTTCAAAAAACATTTGCAAGATGTTCCTATAGCGAGTATTAATTTATATAACAGGTCACACATTCCTTAATTAACAGCCTAACTTATGCTGCATGACACTTTTCATGTGGCTTAATATTTTACCTGTGATTTCTTAACAGATAATTTCTATCCAGACAAAACAGCTGATAAACACAAGTCAAGTGAGATCTTCTTTTCATTTTGAGAAGGATCCTATTTGTCATGAATCAACGCCTTTTCTTTTTGTAATAGCTTTGGAAGACTTTCCTCACTCGGAACTGATCCTCAGAATTTAATTATGCTCTCACCACAACAACCAAAATCCGAAGGAAAAAGCCAAAATTTTTGAGTATTACTCACCAAAAGTTGAAGTTCCTTTTCCAAAGAATCTTTAACTTGATTTACTGCACTCAAGTTTTTCTCAAGGTCAAGAAGCTTTTGCTCTTTGCCCTGCAGTTCTTTGGCCAGATTACTAGCCTAACAAAGATGGTTAGATGGAGTAAAATAAAATTACAAACATGAATGATAAAAACAGAGAAATTAAAAGTTGAATTTGAAGAAAATAACTATAATATTAAAATCATTGTAAGATGAACAAAATGAAAATAAAAAAAAAGAAAAAAAGAAGAAAAAAAATGTAATGTGTTAACTGAGTGAAGCTGATTTCCACTGATGACTACATCACAGTACTGATTGGATCTTGGAACATGATTGAAATAATTGAAATGTAGTTATCTTAGATAAAACAGTTGATGGTAGACATTCTGGAGCACACTGAAACATTTCCAAACAGTTACAGAATCAGTTAAATTGGTAGTTTTGGTTCTTTACTGTTTTAATTTTTTTAACATTTAGCACTGTATGTTTCAACTGGCTGTTCACACCAATACACACACAGGGATGCCATTTTCCAAAAGATTCTGTACCTCACCCAGGATAGTGCAGAAATTCAGTGTGAGCTAAAAATATGGTGCCAACAGTCCACAAAAATCAAGTATCTTGGAACCATCTGTGAAGAGTTTAGGAGAGCAACTTCCAGCTACCTTCCCACTGCTCTTATAATTGGAGTTCTTGCTTGTCAGGTTATGTGTCGATAGGGGGTTTGCCCAAAGCCCCAGAATGAAATTAAATCTCACCACTTTTATTTCTAGCTGCAGTGGCAGAACAACTTCCTAGTACTGAACAGCATCCTAACAGCCTTAAAGATACATCCAAAACACCAATGAAAAATCTTGGTAAGATATATCGAACTGCAATTTGTGCTTCAAAAATACAATGAGAAGGTCCCTGACAACACTGCTGCATACCTTTATTTTAAAGAAAAGTTCCTCCAGGATCTTTGTTTTGATTTTCATAGCACTCTGCCTCTTCCATCATCATCTTTGATGACAACAAAGGTAGTAAAGATACTGCCGGCACAAACTGAGAACACAGAATCTCTCTACAATTCAGTGTAATCATCAGAGGAAGAAAACCCACTGAACCCCACGTCACTGTGCCAATAGTTCTTGCACCAACAGTGAAAAACTTGTATATTAAGATGTAGGGTTCTTCTCCCAAATAAGCCAAAAAAGTAACCTTCTGTAACACAAAGCTTTCCACAGAGGCATGTTTTCCTTTTGCTGAGTGGTGCAGACCAAGCAATACAACCTGTTCAGAGATCTGACCCAATCAACACTTTCTCTAAACCTCCTCAGATGGTACAAAGATACACTGCTAATAAAAAGCTTTTGGTTTTTTCTGTGATGAGTTTGCTACAGCAGTTTAGAGCAGTAAAAATGTAAAAACAAAAACAAAGTAAAAATAAAAGGATGGATGTTGATACAAACCTTGCTACTTCCATCAACCTTTTCAGTCTCTAAATTCTGTATCTGTTTCTCAGCTGCCTCAAGCTGCTCGCTAAGTTTCTGGATTTCCAATTTACCTTCAGAATTGGCTTTCTGAAGTGCAGCAAGGTCCAAAAGCTTTTCTTCAGAAGCTTTGATCTGTTGTGTAAGACTACCAATAAGTTTGGTTTGTTCATTGCACTTGGCTTGCAGTACATCTAGCTCCTTTACCTTTATTTCAGCTTCCTGTAATTTGTTTAAAGTGTCTTCCATTTCTACCAGATGCTGATCTTCCACACTTTCCAGTTTGGTCTTCAGGTTTTCCAGGGTTTGTTCTTTCTCCTCTGTGACCGCCTGCAATTTTGCCTTCAGAGCTTCAATCTCCTTTAAATGATGAGATTTTTCATTTTCCTGCTTCAGTTTTAAATTCGACATTTCATTTTCGTAGTCTAATTTAAGCTTCTCCATCTGAGTTTTTAACTCTGCAAATTCTGCTGTCTGAGCCCCTACACCTTTGCTGAATGAAACTTTCAGTTCTTCCATTGCTTGCTGATGGGAAGCAATTGCAGATTCCAGCTTCGATTTCCACAGTTCTATTACATCTGAATTCTCTTTGTTGGCATGATCAAGCTTAGTTTTCAATGACTCGTTTTCTTTTCCCATTCTCTCATTTGAAGCTGAAAGTGTTTTGATCTCTTTTCGCAGCGCTTCTTCACTGCTTTCAAACTTCTCTTTCAGAGAGCTCATCTCGCGCTGATGCTCTTTGCCAGCTGCTGCCATTTTTTCTTGCAAAGTACTTATTTCTTGTAACAATGAAAGAGAAGTATCCACATCATCAATGTGTTTACTAGACTCTAATCTCCCTCGAAGCTCAGCTACTTCCTTCACCCGCAATGCTAGATCTCTTTCTAGTTCCATGATGCGAGATTTTTCTGATACTGTAGCCACCTATGATTAACAGCATTTTAAGAAAAGAAGAAAGAATTATAAAAGTCATAAGTTTAATACATGGAGACACTCAGACCACAGTGAAAAGAAATCACCTAGTGTAGCAAACCAACATCATTAGCCTCCTCTTACCAGCGGTTTGGATTATGATACCTCTGAGCTTCACTGCCAACTCCTATTTCTAAGGAAATGCTAAAGAATGCTTAAGAAAATACTGCTTTTATTTGGAAGGCTGTGAAACAAGACCAACTGTTAATTCATTTATGCATAAATTATCACTTAAAGAAAGAAAATGTACAGATGCCCACATCTTCCTATTACGTGCATATTATGTTCTCCTTAAAGATGGAGTTCATTTAAACTCATTTTTCTGAAGTTATTAGTAAATAATAACTTGCTAAAGAAAAGCTTGCGAAGTTGCTTATGTACATTATCAACATTTAACAAAATGTTTCTTAGAACCAATTTAAAGCAGATGGAAAAAAGATAGAACGTCCAGTTCTCTAACTGCTGCAATAATTGCTTCCAAATTCATCTTAAGTCAACTATGAGACTGTCAGAAAAACACACAACTGCCTGTTTAGCATATGGATCCTCTGAAACTCCTTCCATATTCACTCCAATGTTCTCTCGAAAAACCTTCCTCACTTCATCTGAGCTTTTCAACAAATATTATAGAAATTTCTGATATGAAAATCACACAAAACCAGAACAATGACTTCTAATTAGGAAATCAATGCTTCAGCCTTCTTATTATCCCAGCAGCCTGAAAGAGACACTACTGTCTGCAGCTGCTCCGTAACAGTGCTTATTGGAGGAGACGTTCGTGGACATTTCTAATATTCATCCCTACCTTAACTTCAAGAAGAGCTGTGTGTATGCATGAATATATATATGCTTTCAAGAAGGGAATCAATTATACATATTATGACACATACTCAGCTTTCTATCCCTATCTATCCAGAAGAGTTAATGCTCTTCATCTCCCTGATTAAAGAAAGTGGTTGGAAGGGACAAAGAAGTGTAGGAAGCATTATCTGAAGTGAGCAGTGGATAAACCACTATAAAAAGCAATGAGAATATTAAAAATGTGCAGATATTTATAAAGGCAAATAAATGAATTTTGAGCATGATACAAAAACTGTCAAGTGCTCAGCAGCCTATTCTGCTGTGGGCAGAATAGAAGAAAAATATTTATGACTTTTTCATCCTCTTTACTGATGAAATAAAGGGGAATAGGTAAAAAAATAAATATATATATATATATATACGATCCTGCAGAAAAAAATGAGTCACAGTAGAGAACTATACCATTTCTTTCCAGTTGACATTGTACTTTATGAGTTTTAAAGATCTGTGATGACTTTTTGGGTTTTTTCAGAGTGAGATAACAATATTTGCTTTTTTACTTCTAACACAAAGAAAAAATGTGTTATCTAGAGGAAGTTCACACCTTGTCCTGCAGGGAACTCATCAGTCTGAGAAAAAGGCAGAATTAAATTCATTGCTTCATTACATCAAGTGACTGTGAAAGATTCACACTGTAAGATATAAAAGAACTGGCACTCGTGGTTTATTTCCATTTCATTGCTCTAAACTGAAAATGTATCTGATTCCTCATCTCTAGAAGCAGATTTACAGGTTTTCTGTAATAAAAACACCTAACAGTAGAGCCTGAATGGTGCACTGTTATCTGTTACTCATTATAAAGATGCCACATTCCAGAAACAATCAACAGCAGCATCTTAATGGATACGTACGTATCTGTAAAGAATTTAGGACAAAGGGCACTTAGCAACAGTGGCTTATCATGAGGTATGACCAAGATCACCCAGGTTCACTGCTTCAGATCTGGCCAGAGCCACAGCAACTGATCAGAAGGTACAGGGGGGTTTTGGTCGGTTCCTTCATCCAGGGAACCCCGAGATAACAGAGCAGATCGCTTCTCGGCGTCCTGGTTAACAGCAAGTGTAGAACTGCACTATTCACAATTATTCAGAGTTGATTTTGATCAGAGCATTAGTTGGAACCGTGGACATTTCAGATTTCCTGTATTTGAGATTTTATGAATTATTCATCAAATATTAAATTGAAAAGGAAAAAAAAAAAAAAGAAATACACCAAAACCTGTCATTACTTTCCAGGTGCAGGGACACCCAGATGTAAATCTATGAAGCACAGCTTTTCATTCTTCTTGGATCTTCACTTTTAAATAAGCACAGATACACAATAAAATGTGATAGCACAACAGACTTTGCTAACAGACACATGTTGAACTGCTGAAGTCAACTACATCAGTCCTCTGGGCCTTGCTCCAAATACAACTGAACAGTTAGCACCTTCCTAACGAGAAAAGCCTCTGTTCTCAGAAACGTGCTGAAAATCCCAGGAATCAACATCTGCTGCACATCTGTCCTGGGCCCAATGCTGAGGAATATTTTGACAGCACCACTGTTATTAATGCTACTGAGATACCTAGGAAAATATTGTGTCCTTGGTAGAAAAAAAAAGAATTAAGAAGTCCTTGACGTAGCAAAGCAAGTAGCACAACCAGCATTTCTGAGTTAAAAGCACTGGCACAGTGGAATTATTTCTCTTGGATATAATGAACTTTGCTACTTCTAAAAATGAACCACTGAACATTCCTTTATGGCTACTCACAGTCCCACTTGCCACTTTCGACACGGATTCAAGTACTAATTTTGCACTTTGACGTCATCTTACCTGAATTGTCCTGAAGAAATGAGTACACGTATACAGCTATACACACACAGCACCGACACTCAAAAGCAATGCTCATTTTTACAAGTGTTCCAGCTACATGAGGTTCGTGGCAGGTGCAAGATCTCTTTCAGCATGTGTTACACCCGGCAGACCGCGTCACCAGAAATCTTCCACAATACAAATCAGTCTTGTTATTTAAATAGTGAAAACCATTACCCTAGTGTCTTCTAACTCCCTCTGGAGTTTGTCAGCTTTGGTCTTTTCAAAGAGCAGGCTCTGTTCAAGCTCCTTAATGCGGGCATGCTCCAGTTTGGTCTGCGTCTGTTAGTAAAAAGGGAAAGGAAGAGAACACAACGGTGCCACCATCACATGCCAGCACACAAGGAGGGAGCCACATGCAGGCCGTGCTGCCAGAATCTTCTATCAATGATGAGCAGAGAAGATGCAGTGGATAAAATGAACAGGGAAATACTATGGATGAGAAAGATGGGCTGAAAGTGTAAATGGACGGATGTGTAAAAAAATTAAAAAAAAATCACAAAGAAATATGGACAAAAGTTTCATGCAGCCAAGTAGAAGTTATTTATCAGTACATGAAGTTTTCAGCACAAATTAGAATAGTTATGAAAAAGTACATAAAATATAAATGTGTACCTACACCTGTTCTAAGAGGACGACACATCCCTTTCCTTGTCATGTCACTAACTTTTTTCTTTAGTGCATTGGTTGTATTTTTCACATGATGTATTGTGAACCAGGGGATGAAAATTCACCACTAAAGCTCACGTGACAAATCAAACTTTTTTTTTTTTTTTTTAATGGGATATTAATTAGCTGCATTTCAAGCCTCAGTCATAAAAATGCTTTTGGTCAAGATCTGGGAATACTAAGGTTCATTTGTCACCAGAGTATGAAATATATGAACAGAAAGAGCATGGTTGTCTGAATGGTAACTGCAGAACCCTCCTATTTTATCCCTCTCCTCCTCCAGAAAGTAAGCAAGCAACAAGTAAGATTCTCCAAAACCAGGGGACACAGGGAAATAGACTGGTTGCTTTGTAATTGTTGAGGACTGTGTGCATGGAACAAGATATAGAACTGGTAAGACTGAAAAAAAACGAACAACAGAAAAACCCAACTTTGTCGTTCTTTTAAGTTCCTCAAGGGAAGCAGGAAGTACATGAAGCTAACTAAGCTGTCACCTCCTGCCTTTTGTTTACAAAGGGGTAGAATTTTTTTGGCAAGCACACAGAAAACTCAGTACTTGGGCTCCAAGAAACTCCAAGAAGTGTGCATGAGAACTTGAAATTTGAGAAATGCGGTGAAGTTCAGCAGTCAGTTCAAACCTGACCTCTTTACTGATGTGAGGAAAGGAAAAAAAATAATACAGAGTTAAGAACCTCAGTGCTGTGCCACTTCTGAAATGCAGAGAGCTGATTTGTTTGCAAGTGTGAAACAATCCAAATTAAAAGGACTATGGAAGTGCACTGTTTCCTATGTCTTTAAAAAAAAAAAAAAGGGCAGTTTCTCAGAGCTTGCCCACATCAAGAGTAAGGTGGATCTCCAGAAGTGAATGAAGTTCTGTCTGGGTGTGCTAAGACATGTCTTGGAGCTCAAGAAATTGTACCCATTAGACTTGATGAAAGTTCTCTATCACAGTTTAGCTGCAGCAGTGACTTTACTACAGAACAAAATCAGACAGTATCCCCCACACCTTATGACTGCCTTTAAGAGAGGAGAGGTCCAGCAGCCCGGTGAGATAACTGAACTGGATTGAAAGAAACCCAAAAGAAGAGCATGCATAACTCCAAAGCCACACTGCTGCCAAACCCACAGCAGTGGCAGGACACACACACAGCTGGCAGGACACTGCTGCTTCTCTCGTCTTCGTAATACGATATTTAAAAATCCCTGCAGAACTGTGTTATTTATAGAGGGACAAGATGATTAGCACTGCCTTCAAACCAGCCACGGCAGTTTCAGATTGTGTGCAGTCCCTGCAAAGAGAGACAGGCAGGGATGACACTTGTTTTGCTTCAGGCCTGTTCTCCTTCAATCACAGTATTCCTTCAGACAGCATCAATTTATTATCATCTTCTACCAAAGCATGCTGACATCTGGTGGTTTCAAATGTCCTTTTAAATGTTTTTCCAGCTGAATGGAGTTGGCTGGTTTACTGTGAACTTAGTTAGAAGGTCTGAAATACTAAAATCCATAAATACTAAACTTACTTCTTAGATTTGTTTTGTTTGATATTCCATAGCAGATTAATTTGTCCATCAGTGGAAGATAATTCAGTGTAGATGAAAGAAAAAACCATGAGAACGTGGCTTATCAGTTTTGCCTCCCATTGGCTTTGGAAACAGAAACATTCTAAGGTAAATGGCAGTATTTTTTGAAATGGCTGTAATCAGTTCCCTCTCTGAGGCTGACTGGCATTACTTCTAAGTCTGAAAACTAAGCTATTTTAAAAAATTGACTATTCATGTCTTTCCTGCTCTAATTCCCAAAAGGGATTCATTAGAAAACAAGCCTCAAACCTGACAGTTGCAGAATTCTCCTTTCATCACTGCAGGATACATTATCTGAAGATTTTCTATACTATGTAAAAACCAGAATACTTTCATCATTAATTTTACAGACATCACGTTAGTACTGCAAAGATCTGATATACCACCACTGATTACCAGCTTTTTAAATCCCATCTCTTATGTATCTCAAAGAAGAAATTAAAATACTACCAGGATGAAAATAAAAACTGAAAGAAAAACTCAGCAAAACAAAACTACTCCAGAGATCTTTGCTGGACGCTTTCTCCCAATTTAGTACATGGAGGATTATTCTTCTAACAAATGTGATTTCTGAGTTTGCCTCCAGTTTCCCTGAGGCAACAATCACTGCAAAATTTTTAATCAAAGTACTGATCATCTGAAGAGCAACGTCTGAAGAAATATGGTCCTCTGTGAGGAAACTGAGTGCACAGTAAACTGACAAGAGCCGAGTACTACAAAAAGAAGAATCTGATTGCAAACCTTAAATTGAATGGAAAAGAAAAACAGAAGAAGAAAAAAAAACAACAATAAATGAAGCATCTTCCCTTTCTCCAAAGTTTCACAGTTAGATTAAGACAGAGAGGGAAATGGGACAAGCCTTACTCTGGCTTAAACCCTAAAGAATTCTACTCAAACCAAATGTCAGAAAGCAGTCATCAGCTATTTTCAGCATTTGTGTATTCTAGCTACTTTCACATCAAAATAAACCTTTGGTTACGTTCTCCATCAAAAAGTCCAATTGTGAAATTGTGCTGAAGCCATAAATGCTGATAACCAATTCTAGGATAGGGGCAAGAAGACCTTCAGTCCCTTCGTGCTGGGATAACAATCACAGAACATGACTGAGATTATGAAGCATTAGCCTGGAAACAAAGTGACCAGCCATCCTCTCCTTCAGAGAGTGAAGATGTCCATTTTTATGGAAAAAATCAGAATAGGGAAATCAGGAGTAAAGATAGGATTAAACAAGGAGTGCACAAAATGAGAAAAAGGAAGGGCACATGCAGATTTACTTCTAACACACCGTGAGCCTGATTGGAAGAATAGAGGAGACCCGGATCGCTGAAGTAGCTTCACAAAAGGAACACCTAAGAATGCACAGCAGGAAACCAGTTTTAGTCTTGAGAACTTCCTATCTTGGCTGGGGATGCAGCAAAGGAGGCAGCCTGTGATAGTTCTTCCTAAATCCAATCAGAGAAGGCATTTAAATTCCACTATTCTGAGCTACGGAAGGAAGAGGGCTGCTTTAATGTCTTGTAAAGTAATTCCTGTTATCTAGTTGCATACATTTGTCTTGCATAATTCACAGGGAAGGTACATGAGGATACATTAAAATAGACAGCTTTGCACACTAATTTTTAAGATGTTTTTAATTATCACTCCCCTGAGCATTTTATGCCAAAAAAGCAAGGAGAAAAGAAAAAAGAAACAAATGAGGGGAGCTAGGGAACATTCAATTTTTTTCTTCCTCAGAAAAAAGAACTGGATCATTGCTTACTGTTGAACAGCAGTAGGAGCTTGTAGGAAAACAAGCAGGATTTCGTGAAGCAGCTAAAATCCTACATTTAAATGAAAGACATTTCAAGATCTCAGACAGCCTTTTTCTACAAGCTCCTATACACTCCAATCAGCTGCAAAGGTTTTGACCCCAAAGAACTCTGACTTTATTTGCCCTCTCTCCAGTCAATGGGGATTACAACGTTTAGTCATTACACACATTCTTTTTGATAAATGTTGTAATTGCTCTGAAAGCAACATGCACACAAATACTAGAGTCAATGTTTCAATAACAGATTATGCAGTTAGTGAATAAGTATAAGCATTTTCTGCACACAATCTGTTAACATGGGATGTCTCTGCACATTTAAGTGCCTTCTTACATTTTCTGGATCTTCCGAAATCTGCCTCTTTCGCTATTAGTAAAATTAAAACACAAATAAACAAAAAATATTTCACCTGCAGACTTAGCACTTGATCATTCCAACATAAACAACAGGATACATTTCATTATCTTGAATTCAGCTTAAATTCTTGAAGTTATGCAGCTTGACAAACCAGTCTTTACAATGGTTTGCCACGACCAACAAAAAATAAAAAACTGAAAGTTTTCATGGACTAAATAATAAAAGAGCATTCTATGAAGAATCTAGATAGGTATCTTAAAATGAATGGAAGACTAAAATAAAAGAAATGTTATATGAAATGAATCATTTCCATAAGGCTAGCACTTTAATCATAAATGGTTCACAGGGACACAAGTCAATTAATTTGGTTATTTATGCTGTGCATGAGTCTAGTATTTTTCAGATTTAAACAGCAGTAGAGTAGAACTAAAATATCTTGCTTTTTAATTTGACATTTGGGGTTAAAATTGGCAGTGTTCAAGTAGTTGAAAGTAATGCTTCATCAGATTTTTCCTAATCTGATTGCATAATTACAAACTATTATTTATGCACACCTAAATGGCTGTTCAGATTGTGCATACAATGCATCTCCAGAGAGAATATTCTTCTTTTAATAAATCTTCCCGAAGGAAAGTACATGAATTATTCAAAAAACTTAGGCCAAGTCAAATGGGCTGCCTTGTTCCTCAATACTCATTTTCAAACATATAACTACCTAATTGTCAGTTTCATAATTTTAAGATTATATTTTTTTGGTGCTTACTTTTAAGTAATCAAAGAAACATCAGTAAGGAATAATATATGATAATAAAAATATTTTAAAAATTGAGTTTTCTGTGAATTGAATTATTCTAAACATATATGGCCATTCCATAGTAAAATCCTTGCTATAGCTGAATTATGGTCGTGATTGTGCAGTTTCAGGAATGTTAGCTTAATCAAGGACTGCAGAAATGGGAAGCACTTCCATGTGCTTTGCATACATTTGTACCAGTACTGCATCAATTAATCATTCCTGCCTTTGTCTTCTGAAGAGCAGTATAATTAAGAGGAACTGATTGCATTTCTCTGTCTTACTACATATCCTGTTTACAAAGCTGGAGATATTTTACCTCTAGGTCTCCTTTGGTAATGGATTCTTCTTCCACTCGGAACTGAAGATCTTCAACCTTCCTGTAGGGACAGTTGATTAAAATTGAGATAACTTTGAAGGAAAATGCATTCCAGCTCACTTTTCCATGGACAGTGGACAGCAAAGCACCAGAAACATTACAACAGCAGAATTATTTTACAAAGAACAGTGAAGAGGAGGAAAACCATTATCATTAAAGCACAACACTTTAAAGCAGCAGTATTCCTACAGCTCTGTGAAAAAGGTGTTTTATTGCAGTTTCTGAGAAGTTAGAAAGAAAACCTCTACATCAGCACTATTTCTTTCACTCCTTCACCCTTCTGCACACATTCCACATGTTCTATCAGATAAGAAAACAGAAAGTTAGGAAACATCCAAGATTACTGAGAGCCTTCCAGAAGTGTGCTGGACAACTGCAACAAAACTATCATAGACAAACATGTGCTGGTTGTCAGGATGAACTGCAAGATGCAGGCTGGGAGTACCTGCAAAAGCAAGATACAGTTTGCCTTGCCCATACAGGAGTTTTAGAATGAGAATCACACCATCAACATCACACCAACAAAAGTAGTGCTAAGCTGGTACTTGAACTAAAATAAATGTTTTTTAAAGTTACTTCTTCCTTCTCCAAGTATGGCAATGAACAAGGGACCAGACCTCCTCCTTTAAACTCAGTAAAATGGGGCAAAGGAATCGACAAAGATGCTTTCTTTCCTCTGAACTGTGCACACTGCTGGTGCATGGAGCGTGGCTGACAGATGTAGAAATCATTGGATCAACGTGTGATACAAGGGACAGATGACTAAAATAAAAGGACAATTAGAACTTATTGTATTCGTGGAAGTGGGTATCGCCCCTGTGCTATGGGAAACAGGATTCGAGATTGTTTGACTAAAAGGTACTGCTGAGACTGACTTGAATGCACATTACAGAGCTTTCAAAGTAAACACACCTAGAGTGACTAGGAGGAAGGAGAAATATTGCACTGCTGAAGCCATGAACTGTTTTCCTGGCTGTAAAACGTCACTTCAGCTAATGGGTCGCAGGCATACACAGCAGCACTGTTATGCTGCCTAGCAACACACTGAAGGTGAGCTCAAGGCCATGGAGGAATGCAGAAAAACGGATCCCCCCCAACCTGGCATCCAGTGAGAAGAGGTTCACAGCCAAGCTAATGGAAGTGCTGCAAAGCTTTTTAAAATTATTATTATTTAAAATTAAATATTAGGAAAAAAATCCACAAAATAAAACAACAAAAAATCCACACTGCATTATTGTGTAGAGATCATAAAAGTAATTCCATACCCAATTCTACTATTTCGAAAATTCAGTGCAAGCAGGTCCAACAAAAAGGAAGCATGCAAACTGCAAGGGAATTGCCCAGGTTTAACACTGTATGTTCTCCTCTGTGTGTCCTAGTTTTAGGGAGGCCTTTCAGAGGGGCTGACATTACAGGGCAGAACACCAGTCTACAGAGCAGGTTCACAACGGGTTTGGTTTCTAAATGGAGTTCAGCTTTTCAAAAGCACTCAGAATGCATCAAAACAATGTACCAGATCATTTCCTCAACCAGGTTTGTACATCTATTTGATAATCTCAATTCTTTTCCTCAAATCGTAATATCAGTTAGAAAAGACACTAAAATTGGGGGCTTTGATGATTTCCTGTAAGTTACAGATTCAGTGTGGAAGCACATGACAAGTTGTAAATTATTCACAAGAGCACTAAACTGTAAATTCCTAATCCAGCACTGGCAGGAAACGGGATTATGAAAATTTTCACTTTGAAGTAGAAGTGTTTCAGAAGGTGAGGCTTGATCCATTTGTACCTTCATAAAAGCAGGAATAAAATCCATTGCAACTCAAGGCCATACTAGAAGGAGTAAGCTCCATGAAATCTATTTTTCAACAATAGTTACAGCCTCTGAACAAGTCCACTTGGCTTTTTACACAAGCAATCCCAGCTACTAAACCTCAGTGGGTATTCAGTCACCAAAAAAATCCCCTCTACCAGCTGTAATTCATCACAGTATAATTTAAGAATTTATTTTTAATATTAACTTCAATGAACAGAAATATTGTTTTACACTATAACTTCTCCTATCTGCATTATTTAAGATTTGTTTCATGTTTATAAGTCACAAAGCATTTACTTTTAATGCAAAGTTTTTTTTTTAACAGCTACAGTAATGAAGACAGTTTTGGGTTACCTTTTCTCTTCCTCGAGCTGATTGAGAAGCTCCACTTTCTCCCTATCAGCAGCCTCCACCATAGCTCGCAGCTGGTCCATTTTTGCTTCCATCTCCAGTACATGCTATTCACCAGGAATAAGAACAAAATCTAAGACAAACAGCACATGATCTGTTTTTTCAAGTTATGTATTTATACCTCAGTAATCACAAAGTGGTAAAGTGATGAACGAAGAGGCAGGAATGTGATACTCAAAATATGTACGTAACAAAAGAAAACTTCATACACTGAGATGTGTAGAAAGGTTTAACCAGCATTTGTTAAATGGTACAGGTTGGCTCTTATCAAGCCAAAGGTCCCACACAAAAGATCTCACAGGTTTAGAACACTAGTTCTTACCCCCAGACCTTTTCAATTAGAAAATGCAATTTGGGGAATTAAGTCAATTGTTTTACAGTCTCTGTTTTAAGAACAGCAGCACTGCTCTTACCCGGTCGTGTCCATCTCGAACGAGTGCTAATTCCTGCTCTATTTCCCCCACGTGACTGGTTGCTTTTGCAACTTCTGCCCTCTCCAGGTCCCTTTCTGCCAGGAGCTGTTCAATATGTTGCTGCTTCTCCTTCAGTGCCTCCTGCAGGGCTGTGGTACCAGAAATCTTTCTTGCATACCGGGAGGATGTTTCTGTCAACTTCACAAAGCAAGCACATTAAAAACTGTTCTTTATCAAGTGAAAACCAGGGATATCTCCAAGACTCTACAAACATTAGGTTAGAGAAGCAACTGTTTTCTGTAACCTATCGTAATTTCTCCTTTAAGTATTTTATTAGAATTTTGTTTTGTTTTTTGTATTTTTTTGTTTTTTTGCTTTACCTTAAATTACTTAGTTTGAGAATTTAACAATAGCCACATCTATGGAGTAAGTTTGTTTTGTAGCAATCAGCAGGCAGCACATAGGAGACAGAAGGACTGAAGCGAAAACCAAAGGCTGGCCTCAGTCTGGGGCAGGTTTGGTAGACTCACACAGAGACAAGTCCATTAGCTTTCTATGAAGTTTTTTTGCATTAAAAAAAGAAAGGCATCTTTACAGCAAGTAAATAACATTGCCCTTCTCGTTACCAAGTCATTATCTTGGGTCACCAGCAACAGTATAACATTTCCAAATGCTCTATTAAAAGCTTTTGGAAATCCAACTAGCATTTTGTGCCTCTACTATGGCAACAAGACATTCAGGGTCAAAGGCGTTTACCTTGACTTAAAAAGCTAGCTTCACAGCTAATACCTCCTGAAGTACATTGGTATCTGATTAAAACATTCGTTTATATCCTTGTAATTAAGGTTCTTCTGGAAAAGCAAAACAGAACAAAACTGAAGGATTAAATGTTAAAAGTATAGCTATAAATGAATCAATCTGTAGAACTAGAGCTAAAATGAACCTGAATGGCCCCAAACACGCAAGAGACTGAGGGCACAACACAGCATAAAATAAGTATACTGAAGACATTCACAAAGTGTAACTGTCCTCTTGCTGCTGCCACAATCAGCACAGTATGCTGATATCACAGCATAGTGAATAAAATGTGAAGGTCCATGTTAAGGCTTCACTGTCAGCCCACAAACTGTCACAAGCAGCCATACTAAGTTCAACAGGTTCAAACTAGGGGGCACTACGTAGCTAGGACTACAATTTCCAGACTGGATTAAGTTATAAAGTCCCTCCATTTGTGCCAAATAAAAATCAGCGTGCTTTCTGTGATGAGGTATTAAGCCCACTGCCCTGACCAACTGCTGACCTCTGTTCACTCATGAGCTGCTTAAGTTTGGAAGGACTGTGGTACATCACCTCTGTCCTGCACCTGCTTGTCAGTGGAGCAGTATGCCAGATAATCAGTTATAGACCACTGAGAGACAGTGATCTCCTTCCAATCATGTATTTATGCACACTGATTTAGGGAAAAAAAAAATATATCTAGGGTGACTGTAGAAAAAAAAACACACAATTATTTCTATGCTTTTAATTGCTTTGAAAGAGAGGCTTAAATTCAGCTTTCCCAGAACATCTCCATTTTATTGCTGTAACCCAAGATTAGGACATTTATGTAACAGTAACTTAAAAAGAACCCATAGTAAGTGTATTAGGTGGAATTAGTGTGTTAGAATTCACCCAAGCCACTGAACTTTGCAACATCTCGTCTAGATGAATTCAAGGGATTAAAAACCAAATCAAAAAGAAAGAGGCTTCTTGTCAGCAAAGACTTGATAATTGCTACTTCTGTATTTCTCAGCTGATTCATCTCTTTAGCAGCAAAAGAAGGCCTTTTACATTTTGAAAATTTGAAGATTTCTGCTTAATGAAACAAGTTATGCTATGGGAGCTTTAGTGCATAGCAGATCCTCAAGCAGATCCACAAACCCCATATGACAGAGATAGTGCTAGGAAAAATGAATTGCTAAATGCAGATTTCAGTCGTAGAACGCTGATGCCTTGTTGGCATCACAAGCCCCTTTCTTATTGTAATAACTCATTAGCCCAAATTAACTGTGTAAGCTTGAATATTCAAATACTCAGCTACTCTTCAGGGCTAGCTAAGATTTTCTTCCTTCATGCATGCTTCGAATGAAAAAGAGAGCACAATTAAATGCATACTGTACTCTCCCCAAGATGTTCTATCCTCAATTTATGCAAGACCACAGGCCAAGTGCCACGTGGATTCCTGCTTGGGAATGTAAAGCATGCAATAGAAAAAGAAGCTTACTAGTCCTGTACGGCTTGGCTTGCTGCTTACTGAAGATGCAACAGAACTGAGAGAGCTCAGGGAAGATGCACTTGGGCTTCGTTTCAGGGCTGCAGGAGTCGCAACCACTTTTCGCACCGTTGTCTTTGCTTTTGCTGGTGTAGTAGATGGGAATCCAATCTTTGTAACTTTGTGCACAGGAGCAAACAAACCATATTTTGGCTGACACTGAAAGTACCTTTAAAAAATAAAGCAAACAGGTCAGAGTACTAATTTAACTTCTGTGTTTTCATGTACACAATCTGGCTTCACAAAGACTTCTGGATCAGTAGTGTATCAGTAGTAAAGGAAAAGCTGATGACAGCTTCATCTATATTAAGTTGCAAATTTTTTTTTTTTTTTTTTTAGCAAAACAAAAAACCAATGGAATTGGTAAAGGGCTCTGATAGGTTGCAACAACACTATCACAGTGCATTTCAGAAATGCAACAGAAGAACCCCTTTCGAGCTACAGCTCAGTTTCCTACAAATCCCATTCAGATTTGAACTTTAACATGCACATCCCTTCTCTCTGAACTGCCAGCAAAGAAGGTGAGAACAGAGTTAAAAATAAAATCAGGTTATAATTAGATCAATAAGTTATGTATTTCATTGAATATATGCATTTTTGATTATACAGAACACGTATCTTTGGTTACATACAAAAAAAAGACACCTAAAATTTGAAGCTGTGATCATCACATGCTTGTGGTAGCAGTGGTACTGTGAAGACAGTTGGACTAGATGATCTTATAGGTCATTTCCAACCTTGTGATTCTATGAACCTGTCCTTATTAAGGGCAGCTCCTTGTACCAAGTGAGAAATAAAGGTCACTTGTGATGAGAATTAATGCTTTCTGAAAGCATCTGTGTGGTCTCCAGTCTTTAAAATGAGGCTGTGGGAGCTTTCAGTTCATGTAATGCATGACAGTTTCCCTTAAATTCAGCTTTTAGACATCTAGAGGTATTTTCTTAATTGAGAATTCATTCCAAGATGAAGAACCAAGCAGAAGTTCAAAAAGCAGGAAACTGTGATTTCCATTACCAATCTGTGAATAAAACTCATGTGGGTATTAGGAGAGATCAACTAATCCTGTAAATGTGGGGTTGATGCAGACTTTCAGAGAGGTGCAGTTGTCATAAAACTTAAATCAGTGCGTAAGGGTCCCCCTCCTACCACTACAGTCAGGTTTCACAGCCTAACTACTCCTGATGGAAAGTTTCATGTAAAACATTACAAAAAGAATATGATGAAACACAGAAACATGAGATCTTTGAGGTGGCTGCTATCTGATGATAAACTAACCTTGTTCCAGCAACAGCTCCATCATTCTTTCCCAGAGGTTCATCCAGCTCTACTCCACACCATTCTCCTTTAGCAAAGTCGGTTTCCCCCAAGAAACGCACAACTCCAGCTTTTGTTCCACCCACCTGAAACAGTAAGGCAAACAATCATTTTTAATGCATTCCAAATGAAACACACAATCCAGTGGAAAAAACAATCCCTATAGCCACATTCACAAAGCACATTAATGATGTGACCACTTTTAATTCAAGCTGCATATTCCTTGGCTATGGATTTTGTGTTAATACATTGAAGAAATGTTCACAACTAAATTGTCTGGGAAGAAAAAATGAATAGCTCAGAACCTACACAGTGTAACTCCCTTGCATTAAGGAGAATTTAAACAGAGCGTAATGCACAGCACTACAAAATTGTAGGTGTAGATTTAAACAGCTATCTGAGTTCTCAGGGAGCAGTGGCTTTTTTCCTCTTTTTTTCTTGTTTTAAATCATTTTAAATAGAAGATTAGAAATCATTTGTTTTCAAACCTAAAAAACTACATCTTTATAGCCACTGTGATCGTGTTCCACTTACAATGTCTGAAAGATACAGCTTTTTATAACTCCCAAGGAAAAGAGGAATTAGATTAGGTGAAGAAGGGAGGAATTAAACTAGGTGTGACTGCCACTTGCCAAGAAAGGCAACAAGCCAGACCTGCAGGATACTTGCAGGTCAGAATGCCAATATGCGGTGCCCCATTTGTGAGCAAATCTGTTCAGCCTGTATCAAGCATTATGAAAACAGGCAAATGTTGATGAAAACTCTCTCTTCAAGAGAGTCTGGATTCAACATGGATGTTTTCAGGGTCATTGTTTTTTTTTTCACTTCTATTTTGCAGCACATGTTATGTGATGAGGAATATATATTGCAGCCTTGACAGAAAGCTTGCATGTAACCTGCTAACACAAAGACTGCATTTTTCCTTTCTTTATGCATTAAAAAGTATGTTAGGATTTTGACATTGTATTTCTTGGGGGGAGCTTCCCAGTGTACCTAGAGAACTGCATGCTTCTTGTATCATAAATTAAGATGCACAGTCACAGTAACTAGATAAGTCATATTAATACATTTGGGAAGTGTTCACACAAGAGGTTAACTGTGAGGAAACTGGAAATGGAGTACATTATCTTGCCTGAAAGCACCAAGTGTCCTCAAAGCACCACATCAGTGCCCAGCACATGACACATTTGTGCTCTAGCTTCTAATTCATCAGCTTCCCAGAGCTGACAGCTCTGGTGGCAACTCAAGGCTTCAGCTGATGAGTAGAAAATCCTAATCCACACACTTAAAACCTCAGAAAACCAAGGAAGAACAATTAACCCTTTTGATATTACTAAAAGGGGAAAAGCAGATAGATTTCCTTCATCCCTGTATAATGCGGCAGTTCCCTTTTCCTGTCACATCAGAAAGAGTCTTGAAACAAGGTTTAATCTGCAGGTCACCTTTACATTTTACTGGAACAAATTATTCTTTCTGAGAGAGTAAAAACACACAGTTTACAGTTACTGTGACTCAGCCTAATACAGTAACTAGTAGAATGTTTGGTATTTGGTGTTCTTGGCGAAGAATGGACAAACTTCCCCTCTAAGGGGGAAAAAAAAAGGAGTACCGCTTTAGTGAGAGAGGATCACAACAACCAGAACAGTCCCATGGAATCCAGACCTCTGGGTCTCTGTGGCACAGTACAGGAGAGAAGATGCAACATCATTAACAGTACTTTCCTGGAAGAACTACTCCTGAAATCCACAAATATTTATCCGCTCTTATACATAAGTTTTTCTAGAGGTTAAATAACACAAGCAGAAGTACAAAATACACAACAAATAAACATAAAACATCAAAATAAAATTTAACGGAGCAGCAAGAGGGAAAAAATTGCACGTGTCTGTGCTTTCAGTGCTGTATCAGTGATCAGTGCCTGTGCTACCAGTCCCAACAGTCTCCAAGTTGTCTTTTACATATTCCTTTTCTAGAAACTTCCGGTGTTTTTGTGTTTTTAAGATACATCTGGATGGCATCTTCGGATGAAAATGAAGAAAAAGGAAGACTGGCATGCTGTGTGTGTGGTATTTCCCTTGTCAAACCTGCACTGTTTTCTGCCTGAATAAAGCGAGTTAAATCAACAGAGGCAGTAAAGAACCCATTAAAGAAAGGAGGCAGGAAAACCAAAACAATAGCCCAGATAAGAAGTGTCCCCTGGAAGAACAGGCAGGTCACACAGAAGGACTCCTCAGGAACTGTTTAGCTGGCCAAGGAATCCTACTGGGGTCTTGTGGGAGGTCAGCTACAAAAATAAATATGAACCCACCACCTTCCCATAGGTACAAAACACTGGTTTGCCCTCAATGTAGAATATGCATTCCTTTCTGTTCCATACCTTAGTCCTGCTCATTTGCCACTCTCAATAAAAAAAATGCACGGTATTTCTGTCAGTTGCAAAGCATCCAAGTCACTAACCAGGAGATGCTCTCAAGACAAAGCTCTGGTCTCGTCCCATCCTATCCCATCCCATCCCTGCCTCGCAGTGTGTGCCTGGGACCACAGCCCAGTGCCCAGTGGGAGGGAGAAAACAGAGGAATTCACAACCCAGGAACATATGGGGACACACAACGTGAGATCCCAGGAGAAACAGCAATGTGACTAAGCTTGTAACCATGGCACCGGGCTTATTTTTAAACAAGATGTACGGAAGAATGCCAAAGAATTTGTTTTTTTCCCAAACCCAGTCAAGCTTCCCCGAATAACCAGCTACTACATTTCTGGCTTCTGCAAGTACTGAAGTGCTTATCCTTACCAACAGAAGCAGGCACAGCACTCTGTGGCAGTATGGAGCTAATAGCATTGATGACACTCTAGATCTGCAGTTCTGCTCAGTTCTAAAAGCTCTGTTTTTAGATACAAGGTCAGCTCCCCTCGCTGCAGCCTGGGTCTGCTGAAGACTTCCAGCCACTCACAGACCTCTGCCTCAAACAACAGATTTACCTCCAGCTGCAATTAAGCACTCTGCATGTAATGCCACAACTGCTTAGAAAGCATCTCAGAGGACCATCCTGGCAGAACAATGTGAGATGCTACAGTAAGATACAAGAAGGTAAAGGCTTTCTGTGCTTAAAATTTGCTGTACACACACAGACTTATATACAGTGCTCTATATACCAATATGGAAAAAGAGAACTGTTATTTACATGATTCAAAGAAAAGCTGCTAAAGATCATAGCAAAAAATAGAAAAAAATATATAAGATGTTGCAGTTGCCAGTGGATCTACTGCTAAGTATTGCATGAAGGACTGAAAAAGGCCCCCACCAACAGGTTCTAAAAGTTATATGGAAAAATGAGGCACCATTACCATGAAGACAGTTTTCCATGACCTTCATTCATGCCAAGGTGGGTCACTAAATAATACTCCTTTTAAAAAATATATTTGTTTAGATCAGTTTTCACACCCAAGATAGTCAAGTCATGAAATGTGAAGCAGTAACACCTGAGAGTACCTAGGTTAGGCTAGTGGTCATTGTGAGGTGAAGAAATTTGGTTGGACTTCACTTTTATTATGCCAAACACATGGGAAAAGTGATTAAGTTCCATTTATCACTTTGTAACTAGGCTCACATTAATTTGCTGCAAATGCAAAGTGAAGTAATAGAACAGGTTTGTAAACTTGAGGCTGCTAATAACTTCAAAAACTCTGATGAAAGCATGTTGGGACCAGCAAGTCAGACTTTGCGAGAGCGTCTGAAGAGCTGCATTTCCAAAGATAAGGAAAAGAGAGTGAGACTGATACTAAAACTGTTCATTTAAGACATACAAATCACTTTGAAGAAAGGATATCTTCTGCCTGAAACTTGGCCCATAAAATGGTACCACTTACTTGTACCTAAGGACTGATCCATGGTGCCCCCTGAAGAATCACTTTGAAGCAACATCTCTGTTGTGACCTAGCCTGGGCATTTCCAGAACCACTCAAACCACAGCATCTGTGTAGCATGGAATACATCCTGACAAACAATCAGCATATTTGAAAAAAACCTGGATCTGCTGATCAGAATCTTCTTTCTTCTGTTTCTCTGAACTCGGAGGAACCAGTTCCAGCTGGCAGAAGAAACTGCATTTAACTGATCCTTTCGCCCACTCAAGGGCAGAGGAAACCATCAGGTCATCTCCTCTGGCTCTCCTGATCCAGGTCTTTACATTTTACCCACTCACCTCTGTAATTACTGAACTAAGCTGTATGTGTTGATGTTTTTAGATCAGAGCTGATAACCATAAGAAAGGTTCAACTGACAGTCTATTTTCATAGTTAATCACTCCATTATTATAAATGTATTTAGATTTGAAATAAAACAAATCTGACTGTGGCTTCTAGCTGTTGGGTCACACTATAGTTTTATTTGAGATTATAGAGCTCTTCTGCAACTGGCACTCACCCTGCAGGAGCTTGTGTTCTAAGCAAGTCACTTCCAGCCTTGCCTTCATAAATGGAGTCCTTCATACCCGTAAGACCTTGTTCACATGGGTTCTCTGACATGCAAAAGATCTATGAAGGCACAGTGCAGCTCCAAAACCTGTGGTACACATTATCTGCCTTCTACTTAGTTATCTGTTTGCATGTCATTTAAAAGAAGTTACCTTTGAAACCTCTACTTTTCTATCAAATTTAGCCACAGCCGGCCAACAAGTTCAAAATCAAGGCCAAGGCAGACAGAGTTAATGTGCAATAAGACACAGAGACGTGGTGTCATCACACAACCTTCACTGCCAGAAGAAACTAATTCAGTAATTAAATCCGATCTGCTGTTGAGGTTCCTGCAGTCAGTTTATTCACAAAGGAAGCAATATAAAAACCTAACAGCAACCACACACTCCAAAAGTCACATGTGAATTTGCCATCGCAAAAAAGCAAAGGCCAAGACTAAGTAAGTAAATAAACTGACTGTCCCCTCGCCCATCCTGTGCTGAAATGAGCAAGGACAACGTGTTCCTGGCTATCACTCCATCTGGGGAGGCTGAGGGCGGGGGAGGGAGACAAGGTCCACACACAGAAAGATTGCACGAACAAACCATTGACAAAGAGAGTGGGAAATCACCTATTGCAGCCATTTTATCACAATACCTCACGTCCAATGTAATGTTAAAAAGGAGCTGCCAAAACAACGTGACTTATAATTAGCCACAGATTGCACTTCGCTGCAACAAAACAAATTTAACATCTCACTTACCTGTAAGCAGGCAGATATGTCCTGAAAAATGCTTAAGTGTAACACTAAAAGAAAGGTGGAGATTGTACAGAGAAAAATCACCAGGACAATGACATAGAAATTCTTTGAATATCCTCTATCCCACAGCCACGTTCTCAAAAGTGTATTTTACTCAGCAGCAACCACTCCACAAATCTACATTGTACTTTACAGTCTCTAAAATACCCTGCCTAAATGTACATACACAAATATGAGGATCACTTCTATTCTTACCATAACAAAGCCATCAGAATAGCTCAGAGTCAGCTCAAGGATAAAGGGAAAGCTGACAGAGCAGTCAGGCACTGCGATGCATTTGCAATTACAATGCATTGTGATACCTTTGCAATTACAACAAATGAGGCTCAGGAGGGGACCAGCCACAGCACAGCACACAGCCACTGCACGTACTTCACTTCCAAACTTTTCTATCTCTATTTGCATTTCAGAACATTACAGAAACTAGAAAACTGAGAACTTAAAAATACCACATTGACAATGCAGGATGTTTTTCTAAAGGGAGAAACCTCTCTCCCCATGAGAAATTCCCTTCACTCTTGAAAGAGTGGTTTTAAGTGCTGGAATTTAATCACTTGACAGACTTACGTCATGTTTACTTGAAGATAAATTACATGGGTTGAAACAAATCTGACAATAATCTGCTTCAGTCTCCGCCTATTGCAGCACTGAAGAACTTGGTAAAAAAAAAAAAACACAAGTAATTTACACCACACGGTGCAAAACAGACACAATAAAAATAAATTAGGCATTATTCATGCACAGATAGTAACTTAGCAAAAAGGCCACATCAGCATACGCCTGTAAATCTGGTTTGCAACCTTTTGTGAACATATGGATGGAGGCCCAAGTTACAGCTTTTCAGCTCAGCTCAGAAGCATCAGATTGGCAGAGCACGATGAAGCTGTAACTGGTTAAATGAATGAAAGCACTTTAATCCCTTGAGAAGGCTAAGGCCCCTTAGGTTGATAAGATTTTTATTTATTTATTTATAAATACAGCATCTGGTCCCTCCAGGAAAAAGCCTAAGATGCTCTCAAAGCTTCTTTAACAGGCACAACAACTGTCACACAAAGCAGGTTCCCCTATTTTCTTTCAACAAATTGGGTTTTGGTTTTATCTGTTTGTTTGTTTAAACCAACTTTGCATTGGGCTGGTAAATAGCAAGTGCTCGCAGCGCCTGGGCAAACAGTTTCTCTGGCTGCAATTCAAAGAGGAAACAGAAACCAGCTTAGCCTGGCAGTAATTAGTTTTCTGAATTAGGCTTCAGCCAGACCTACTCCTTCCCTACCTGCTTTACTACCTGGTGACAAGAATTCTTCCGCTGCACAAGGGAAGAGAAGGAAGACAAGAGAGATCACTTTCTGCATAAGAACTGTTATTTATATTAGCTTTACAATGCTGAAACTGTAGCCTAACTTTCAGTAGGCAAATGGGCTACAGTTATGTTAAACTTTGCACTCTTTTGTCATGAACCAAGAAAGGCCCAACATGCACAGTGAAGGAAGCACAGACTTCCCACCAACGTTTCCTACTTTACAGCAAACCCCAAATATGGGATTGGGCTGCTCAAAGTCAATGTTCTCTCTTTAACCACTAAATCATATCCAGATTCTAGAGTGTACTTCAGCTATTAAAAATGGAAATTATGGTTAAGACAGAGCTATTTGATTACTCTCTGCATTAATGACTTTTCCTTTGGTTCAGCTATTTTTTCAGGAGAAGTTATACATCAGTGAGAAGTTGAATAACAACAAGTTTCATATCAGAATGCACAATTCTTTTAAGCACGTACCTCATCTCCCTGTATTTTCGAAACTCCTACATGTTAATGTGAAGTATTTCATAAAACTTATTAGAGAAAGGAAAATTACTGCTCAGCTTTGAGTCAGCCAAGCAATTAAGTACGAGCTTGGTAATTTGGCTCAGAGATACTGGGATGTGAGGAACAGACTTATCAGAGATTCCCAAGACAGTTGGGACTTGCGTGCTCTTTTCACCTAGTTGTCTTTGAGGAGTAAATTATAGCTGAAATAAGGCTCTTTCTGCTTTGGAATATCCATGTAGAGGTATACTGCTTCAGCTTGTGTGTTCACTACACTTTGATTTGCTTTTGCTTTCCTTTGACTCTTCTAGAATCTCGTGGAAGAGAACTAGAAAATTACAACTACGTGAATTGCTCCACCATTTTCAAGTTTTCCTTACAAAAAAAAATTATGCCTATGAAGAACTACACTGATTTAATGGCCTGGAACACGTTCTCTTCAAATTGAGGGGAACCAAAAAAAGGAGAGCTGTAGCTGACTTGCAGCAAATCTAATGCAAGCACTCTCCTGCAGCCACCTGCTCAGTTGACTTACCATACACCTTTAAGCACTGCCTGTTCTGATATTAAACTTTTTTAAAGTGTCAGATATCTGAGGAAAAGAAAGCCTGCACAGCAATGCACCTTTTCATCTCCACATCCGCTGCATTGCTCAATGCAGCCTAACATGGAATACTCTCAGGCATTTGAGAATATGCAGGTGATCATCTCTAAACTCCGTGTGCCTTCTCCTGTGGAATTTCTTTTCTCAGAGCAGCATCTGAATGAGCATCCCATATTGTTTGTGTCACCACTATTTTTCCTACAGGCAATGGAATTAAAGAAAGATCTTTCAGGATTCTTTCTTTGTACCTAAATAATCAGGAATAGAAATGTAACACCAGAAACCTTGTTTATTACTGAATCTATATCACTTTCCCATAGAGCTGGGGACTGCACATGTGGGACCACATAGGTAATCCTAATTTTCAATGCACGCTGTGACACAGTGCAAAAACAACCCTGACAATTTGAACTGAAAAATGTTCCAATAAAGCGTAACTGTTGGGAAATGCCAATTTGTCAAGCCTGAAATGCTTTGAACACAGTATTCACAGGATCAACAAACCCCAGTCAACTTTATGTTTTTGTAATACAGAAAAGAAGCGATTGTGAGATACATGAATTGGTAAACATGCTTCTTTGGCATGTCAGCATTTCTTAGAATATCCTCTTGCTTCTTGATAAGCCAGACTGGGCAGAAAAACAAATACTGTATGACTTAGCTTTGGTTGCTGAAAGTATCATCAAAAACCAACCAGCTGCTAAGAAAAAAATCTGAACTGATCAATTCAAGTCTGATTAAAAACATTCTAAAAATCAAAGTTGAAGAAAAAAAACCCCACAGACTGAAATACTCCAGTGCAACACTCCACACCCTAAGATCACACACAAAGATCAACAAAGTTGAGCCACATCTGAAGTCCATTCTAGAATATAATCTTAGCTAATGAGCTGTGTCTTACCCATACATGAATTTGCCCTTGAGGACATACTTTTCCAGTTAAGCATTTTAATAAGACTCCCAAACGAGCTCTTGTCTGTCATGAATTCATTGTTCTGCTGAACTGCAATCCTACTCTGCTGGAGGCTCACTGTTTTCGAGATGCAATTCCCAGCAGTTGTTTTCCTCATATCTGTAATCAGCACAGCACAGCAAAGAACTTTCACTAAGTATTCAATAGCAGTCAGTCCGAGCTGCAAGAAAGATGAATGTGGGCAGCATTTATTCGTTAGAGATTAGCAACAGCACAGTCAGGCGGCAGCGTGTCTCAGAGCCAGGATACTTGGAGGGGAAGTCCTGTGCTGAGTACAAACACCAGCAAGCCTCTCGTCTTCTTGTGTAATGTGTTACCTAAAGTTACTGCTGTCAGTATAAATGTGAAACAAGTGACTGTGCTGCAGTTCATCTGACGAGCTACAAAAAAACAGGAAGGGTTAAAAACCAGTAGACCCAAACCCTGTCCATTTAACACTCAGATTCCTGTGCACTAACACAGGCATGCAAATTATAGATATGCATCACTGTCACGCTGTGCTAGGAATTGCCCCAAACCTCAAACTACTATTTGATGATTCAACAGGAAGACTTAAGGCTAACAGGAAGCAGGGAGGAAGAAATACTAAGTTTGATCTTTTCTGTTTAAAAACCAGAATTTGGGACTTTACTAAAATCAAACTGTGGTATGAATGGTGTATCTTCATTCCCATTGCCATTACAAGAAAACACATGCCAGTCCATATAACATTCATACAAACTGAAAAGGTATATGTCACAATTACTTAAAAAAAAATGCTTAAAGCAACAAAACTTAGCACTCTTTGCAAAGAATAAAAATGATACATCAGCAGAAGCATTTATGGTTCTGAATTTAGGAACAGCAGCCAAGTAACATAACACATCACCAACAGAACACGTAAATCCTGGGTGATCAGTGGCATTATATGACTGCTCCTGTTGCTGCCTATCACTACTCGAGAGAACAATCAATTATTGAACTGTTAGCTTTCTAAAGACACAGCCCTGAATAGGGCAGGAGAACTGCACAGAAATCTCTTACAGCTCAGCTTTTAATTAGCATGTTTGTAATTCTTGCAGTTATGGAAAGGACAAACTACATTCAAGCTAATAAAACCATTTGGTCTTCAACAAAACACTGGCAAAACATGATAGAATAAACACTGCCAGATTAACCATTTTGTACTGGTACTGTAAAGATCTCTCTAGAATATGCAAAACTGCACAGGAAGAGCTTGCCTAGAGGTTTTTTACAAGACTAACCTTGAAAAGACAGAGCATAAATTTACATTACCTGAACCAAGGAAACAGAGAAGCTCTGAGCATTAGCAGAAGTTACAACTCCTTAATCAAAAAGCAGACACAGAAGCAGCAGGGAAATCTTACCAGAACTCGATCTCCAATTTTGAGCTCCCTTTCTCCTTTCTTTAGTGATCCAGCTTCAGACAGATTTGACACAGATCCACTTGCAGTTTTTGAAAGATTGCTAAACTGAGAAGGAGTAGAATGTTCTTTAGCAGCAAGTGGTGATGTTTTGTGTGGAATTCCTGTTGGGGGAAGTGCAGCAGGGGACGCGGACACCGCACTGGCAGTTGATGTGGAGGTTGGTGATGTAGCTCTAGATGCATGAGCTGTCTGAGTACCATTGGCTTCATCTTCTGTCAGCACTTTTCTTGACAATTTTGATGGTCTTGTAAATATTCCCCTCAAGGGTTCACACTGGAAATAGCGAACTCCAGCCACAGAGCCATCGTTTTTACCGATTGGTTCGTCTAGAACAATCCCTGCCCACTGTCCTGGAGCAAACTGTGTTTCACCAAGGAACTGAATAAAGCCAGGTTTATTTCCATTGACCCAAACACGCTCTCCAACTCTGAAATCATCCACAAAGTCGTCGTGTGCGTCTGCAGTGGTTGTGCTTGAGGACTTTTCACTGGAAGGTGCCTTTTCTGCTGGAGCTGGAATTGAGAACAATGAGAAAGCAACAAGAATCAAACACTCACAATTCAGGAAAGTTGTATCTCAAGACTTTCTGCAATTTGCAAGCTTGTTTTAAAGTAGTAAAAGTATTTTAGATATTTAACCAATTCAAAGAATTATCAAACGTTATGTGCAATTATGTTATCTGAACAGCATAGTGCATACTTTTAAACACAGTTATTTTAGGGAAAATGTTCAACAGCAACAACAAAGGTAGGTTTGCTGTACTGGTAGAAGTGTGGTTATCTCAGATAACAACACTGCTAATGTACTTAATACTCACAGCAGATACTTTCCCTCTACCTGTAACATGCTGAAATCTTTTCAGTTAGAGGAAGCAGGGATATGCCAGATCAAAATGGTTTTTTTTGTTTGTTTTTTGTTTTGTTTTTTTACCCCTATGCTTTCAACAGTGCAGCATTTTAAGAAGTTTGTTTTGAACCAAGATTGCATTCAACTATTAATTTTTTTTGCATGTTTAATTGTCGTTTTTGTTAGATCAGAAATACAAGCAGAAGTGTTTTAGCATAAATACAAGGAATGTTACGGGCTCGTAGATTTCACCATATTCCTTGCTGGAAGATGAATAAGGGGAAAGTTAAGATATGAAATATTCTTTACCAGTTGCAACAGATGCAGGTGCTTTCGGTAACGTACTTCCATGCTTGATGGTCTTTGATGGAGCCTTAAGTCCACTCGGTTTTAACATACTCATTTTTCTGTGATACCAGTGTTAACCCTCTTTGACTACAGCAACTACCTCTTTCCCAACATGGATACAATATAATTGTTTCTGTCTTCCAATTCTAGGGTAAACCTGTATAGAAAAATATTAGACATGAAAGAAAATCAGTATTTTAACTCCTGTAGAATACAGAAGTTAATATATAACTCAGTTTAATGAGCGCTGCTGTGTTCATCTTGAGCTTTAAACTAAGAGGCTATTTTAAGAAAGAAAAACAAAGTCCTTAACAGCATTACTAACAACATTACGTAGAGATATAACTGCTCTGTGCACCCTACCGTTTTCAGTCACATTTTTCAAGCGTTGCAATATCCCAGCAAAAATAACCTGAGACTAGAAAACTAACTGCGAGAGGGAACAGGGAATGTCAAACAGAGAATGCTAAGCTAAAAGGAATAACATTTTTAAGAGCTGGAACCAAAAAGCTAAGGCTGATCAGCAGCGTGAGGCAGTGGGAATCGCATGTCTGAGATCACAAGGTATGTTGGCTCACAGTCCCAGCTACACTCTGGGAAGAGGAGGAGGGACGGTTCCCTGCGCGGCCGACTGGGACACCAGCTGTAAGGTTTGCAGGGAACAGTGCCACGAGGTTTTTGCCACAGAAGGCATCTTCCTTCTGACACAAAAGCTTTAGCAAAGCTTTTTCCTCTGTACTGTGAATTCAAATGGCACGAATCTAAACAAAAACCTGGACGAAAAAGAAAACACAGGCATGGGGCAGTGAACTGTTTGCTCAACTGTTTGCTCGGGACATGACAAAGATGAACCACAAAGCAGCTCCCAGCCCTGCCATGCACTCAGCAGTTTGGCAGCCACCCCAGAGCTTCCCAGTTGCAAACTGCCCAGAGGCACCACCAGCAGTGTACACACAGCACACACCATGCATTTCAGGACAAGAGAAACACCACTCAGAGAAGGGACTGCTGGAAGGCAGCCATACTGACTAAAGAAACAAGCCGTCCATGTCTTCGATCAGGATAAATTCTCTCTCTCCTCTATTATTAATCACCAGTACATTAGTGCTCCTAAAAATCAATTCACTGTGAAAAAGTGTCAGTCACACTGCCTTGTGAATCTAAACAGCAAAGTGAAACACTGCTATGGCTATTTCAAGATTGGCTGTGCCAAATTCAAGTCATTTCCTAACAAGTCTAAAAAAACACTATACTTTAATTAGTATTAATTACCACCTTAGCTGCATGATTTGTCTACGATTTAAGTTATACTCCACAAAAACTCTTAAGTAGCACAGGGCAGATTGCTAAACACTTTTTCTAGCAGTGCCAGAAGTATGTCACACACCCATCTGCAGAGTTATGGCTACCAAAGAGGCATTTCTTCCTTGGTTTTGCAAGACGCATAGCAGTTTACTATTAGCATTTAAGTGAGAGCTCTCACGTTCACAAACATGAAAACAAAGAGTTGCCTATCCAAAATCAAAGCAGAGGGACAGACCATACATGTGAGTAAGCTGCAGAAGAACTGATGCACACTGTTATACAGAAGAACAGCAGAGGACCACATAAGGTGCCACTCTGGATACAGCACAAGCATTTAGTCTTTTCCTTGTTTTACACACCTTCCTTCTCTGATAAATTGGAGTGCATTGTATTTTTCTGTATTCTCATCTTTTCTCTATCCCACACACATGCAGTTCTTCCTTGTGCTGAAGGCCCCATTCCCTCCCTACTGATGCTAGGCTCTCCATGTATGCCCCTGTTTTTTTCCCTCTACCCATCAAAACCCACAGAACAGGACAAGCCCACACAATAAGGAAGGACAGAAATGCAAGAAATATCAGGGTTAGTTCTTTTCAGTTCAAATACTCCTTTTTTGTTGTCAGTGCAGCACTTACATTTATCCCCCATTTCCTGACACAGCATTCAGCATTGCTCAGTTAGTAACCATTTATATTGTGCATGGAAAAGAATATTAAACAAAAAGAAAAACCAACCACACTCAAACACCCCCCAAAACAACATCTTTCGGTGTCAAGTAAATATTTATTAATACATGTATAACAAGCCTTCGGGCAACAGAAAGCCAAAGCATTCTAATACTGCATTTCCTGGCTCAAGGTACTAATTCATATTTTAATCCCACTCTCCACATCACGGGTTATGTATCTGCTGTGTCATTTGCCTTTTTCAATACACAAGCCTTCAACTGGGCCAGAAGTAACACAACCCTCTGCACTGTCATACCCTGATTTCAGGGTTAGTGAAACTGTAGCTCAGTGCAATAAACTGCTAAAATGCAGCACAGTTTGATAAACTGCTGCCTTATCGCAATAGTGAAAATGCAACTTTCCATCTTTGAAAGAGGTAGGACCTTGACAGGAGCATCTCTAAACAGAATTCACCGAACAGCACATAAGTTTCCATCAAGGGATTTTAGGCATGATACACTTGAGTGTTTCCAAGAGGCTCCAGATGTCAATTACCTCAATGTCAATTACCTCATCTGAATGCTTATAAGAGAGGACAGCTAGCTACTTGTCTCAGTTTGTTTGCATTGCTCCTCTGAACCTTTCTCAGCTCTCCTGAAAAAGAATTCTACCCCAGAATATGAAAAAAAAACAAAGCATGTTTTCATTCAGACCTTATATGGATCGCTAATGAAACACACATGTGAAATGCAAATAAACACGTGGATTTCTGGCCAAGCTTTCCCAATCAGCTCAGCAAAAGCAGATTTGGTACCAAAAAGCAGCGTTCCTGCTCTTAGCTCTGCAGCAAAGCAGAACACTTTCTGAAGAAGAAATGGCCATCCACCAGTGTTTCTTTCAAGACCGCATTTTAACAACTAGGCACTACAAAAGAACTACATGCATAATTACAAGCAAAAAAAAGGAAAACAAGGTTCAAGTCTCAGCTCACTCCACTTCAGAACCCGACAGTCACTACAAGAATGTAACAGCACCAACTGTTCTTGTAACAGAGCTGACATCTGACGGCATGCTGCCATCAGAGCACTCCTTCCTCAGCTCAGGTGAAGCACAACGCTTCGCTGGACAAAACATTTGGAACTGTGACTCAATCAGTTGAGGAGGAAACACTTGCTAACATCACTACTTGCAGGCACTGTGTTTCCATGGAGAGAAGCAAGCTGTCTGTCCATTTGGTGAGGAAACAAAGAGGACTTTCTAGCCCAGAGTTGTGATGTTTGAATGGACTCATGATGGACTGCAGAACCCCGGTCCTCTGCACACAGACACACGCGGTCTGACTCTGAGGCTGGAATGCTATTCTCTTGTGGTCTATTTGTGTAATAAAGTGAAACAATTACTTTAATCAATGATCATCCAGTACGGGCCACACATGGCTTCTACAAAACATTTCAAATTAAAATATTAACTCAGTTGATATCACTAAATGACTGATTCTGTTGGCAAATGCCTTTCAAAGCCAAAACATTGCTAAGCTCAAAAAAGAGACGGCTGCAAACTGTTAGTTCTGATCAGAATACCAGTTCTTTGCAAAATACTTACAGGAGTAAGACTAAGAAATATGTAATAAATATTCTATAGGGGCTGTGTAGAATAGTCAGTACTGCTGAGCAACTCCAAGGGAGATGTAGCCAGAGAAGATCCCTGCAGCAGTCAAGTACCAGGTGACTCAAAGACAAATTCTTATCATACCATGTAATGTACAAAATAAACTGGAAAATGCATTCTGTAGGAAAATGACACAGAAAATAGATTTCAAATACCTCCACTGTTCAGAAACATGTCTTCCCTAATAGAAAAAATACAATAACAACTGAGTAAGAAAGATAAAAATGAAGTGCTGTCTCTGAAAAGACAGCCTGAACAGCATTTCTGTAATACCCATTTCACACTCCTGATGCTCATACCACTATTGCCAAGCTTGCAAAAGCTTATGAATCATTCCTCAAAAATCCTGACAATGGTTCAGAGAAAGTAGCTTGGAATTTTGGAACCCTTCACAGTTACAAACACAACTCCTAAAATTACTGCATTCTTTAAGCAGAGTGCCAAAGCCAAATAATTTGCAGTACAAGCATTTTAGCTATGATTCAGATCTAATTTTTAATCACAGCTCTAAAAGTTGTGTTTGTGGTCTCCTAGGCTTGCATTACACTTCTGGAAAAAAAAAAGAAAAAAAAAAGAGTGTATATATTTCCAAAAGTATTTAAAATAATGTTTTCAGATTAGAGGCTTTTGGAAATCAAACACGCTAAGAATGCAACCATATTTTGGCTCTGAAGAAAACGAATCCCTTCACATCGCACCGCCATTTGCTTCTTGTTATCTCTTGAGGAATGCTTCTCTCTCTGCAAGAATGTGCCACATCACAGAGGCCAACTCCTGACAGGTTCAAACAGGAATGTGCCAAATTCATCCATATCATGTCTGCTGCCCAGAGTGGGACATATCCACCAGCACCCTCACTGCAACGCATGGGATATTTGGACAGAGCAGAGGGATGAACTGCAGGAAGCAGCTGGGCTCACACGCTCTCCCTGAGCAGCATTTCCCATCGCCACCATCTTGCTCCATTTCCAAGAAGGAATGTGAAGTCCTCTAGGACCACATATTATGCAGCCAAATGCCTCATTTTTTGTAAAACTGTAGTGGCAGCACACCCAGGGCGGGGGAGTTAAACCTGATCCCACAACAATTACCTTCTCCTGCTCACAATGCCTTCTCCACCAAGCTTAGGTCTGTTGGAGGTAGCTCATACTGCCCTACCAAATGCACTGAATCACCATCATGAATTTTTCCAAGTGCTGAATTACATTTACAGCAAAGTAATTCCACAGCACACATTATAAACGTCATGCTAAGCTTCAAAGCCAGTTCTGAAACAACAACTACAAGCAGTTAAATCAAAAAGTTGGATTTTGAAGCCTTTGTGCCTTAACTCCTCAGAACTTCTCCCTCTTGCAGTGATGCAGCACACTTCATAGACAGAGCCATTTACAACTTAAAACCCTTTTAAGACATAAACACAGCCATGCTGGAGCTATCAACTACAACTAGGTCTCTTTGCATCAAGCCACTGAAGCCAGTTACTGAAACTCCAAGCAAACTCTCCAAACCCAATGTT